CAGTAGTGTGTGCGCAGAGACATACAGAACACTCAGAGAACACAAATTCTTTACCTCCAATAAGATATTTACCTATTAAGCTCTCAGATTGAAAAAGCAACAACACTGCCATTCAGCTGGATTAGTTGGGTTAATTAATGCTTGATGGCAGCCACAGAAATCGAGATCTGAAACAAGTTGATTCCCAGGTCGGCCCAGCCTGCTGTGGGGCAGCGGACCCCTCCACCCAAGACCTGGGGGTGGGTGCTGCTGCTTGCCACTTCGGACTTCTGGAGTTTTTTGCTTTTGACCTCTCAGGTGAGATTGGGGGAGGAAGAGAGTCCACATCTGTTCTTAGCCACCCTGTCCTGGAAGTGACACTTTACTTTCACTCACATGACCTCTGGTGACTAGTCTGAGGGCTTCAGCTGCCGCACAAGGCAGAGCTAGAAGTGAAGGGCAGCCAGTCGGCACTTGGTGAGCCATCACCAATCCCGGGCTGTCATCATCGGGAGCCGTTGAGAAGCGGGTGCTTTTCTGTGTTACAGGTCATTTATCTGTAATGATAAATGATCATTAATAGAGATTAAACTTTGGACTCACAAATGCATGTTATATTTTAAGGGGAACCTCTGAAGAAGACTAACTGAATATATAACTTCCAGACTGACATCAAAAGAAAGGAATAAAAAATTTGATCAACTAAGCAGAACTCAGGAAAGGGTAGGAAGCATAGGCTAAGAGAAAAAAAAAAATGGCAAAATATGATTGTTAGAAGTATAAGTTACTATGTCACATTAAGTTTAACCTGTCAAACACTGTCTTTTAAAGACAAAGATTGTTAGAGTTTTATTAAAAAAACAAACAAAATCTTGCTCTCAGATGTTTACAAGAGGTACCTAAAACATAAGGGCATGCTAAGTTTGCTAGAAAAAAAATGGAAATAGATTGCCAGGCAAATAGGAACTATGAGTTGAATAGCTGAAAAAGCTGGAAACAGCCAATGTATCCATCAGCAGATGAGCTGCTGAAGGAAATGGTGGCAAATATGGACATAATAGAATACTAGCTCAGGCGCAAAAAGGCATGAGCTTCTGATGCATCCACAGCATAGGTGAGCCCTGAGGCCTCATGGGGGAGAAATTAGTACAGAGCGACAGATACTGTATGATTCTCCTTGCACGAAGGATATCAAACAGACAGATGACAGATTCACAGGAAATTAGAGGGTACTATGGACTGGGGGAGGGAGACACTGAGTTTCTGTTGCAGAGTTTCTATTTGGGATGTGGAAATAGTGATGATGGTCACATAATGTTGTGGGTGTAATTAATGCCACTGAGTTGCCCACTTAAAAGTGGCTAAGATGGCAAGTTCACTGTTACAGCTGTCTTACCACAATAACATGTAGACCAAAAAGCTGAGTGACAGGTAGTGATATCACTCAGAGTAACCTTTAGGCAAAAAGTATTTATGGGGGTGTGAAGATCTCTACATAATTATATTCACCCTGCTTGCCTGACAAGAAAAAGTGTGTGATCTTTTGAGAAAATTATATTTACTTCAGTCTTTATGGTTCTTTTAAATATAATGTCCAGCACACAATAAAAAATTAAAAGAAGCCCATGAATGTAACCCAAGATCAATAGAAAAATTTAGTCAGTCGAATCAAATCACAGGTGGCCCAGACATTGGAAATGGCAGATAAAGAATTTAATTCTCATAAATGAATGAACTAAACAAATGAATGAACTAAAGTAAAACCACGCTTTTAGACTCTAAAACAAGGCAGTGGTTACCAGAAGGAAGGGGAAAGAAGGGCGGGGAAACCAGGTGGAGGGGTCATTTGTAGGGTGGAGGATGAGCTGAATTTCCAGCGTGAACTTCATGAAGTACATGCAGATGTTTGTAATGAAGCACCTCTGGAACTCAGGTGATGCTATAAAGCAATGTTCCTTAAAAAAAAAAAAAAAAGGATGGAAAAAAATTAATAGATGGGGATTTTCAGTAGAGAATTGCAACTGCTGAAGAGTATAATGGGCATTCTAGGACCGAAAAATATACCTGAGAGTAAAATTTACTGGATGGAATTAGCAGTGCACCAGATATAGCTGAAGAATGGTTTGGTGAACTCAGACAGGTTAATTGAAATTGTTCAGCTGAAGCACCATTTGATGAAATAAAGAATATTAAATCTTGAGTAATGCACAGGATAAATGGATAGGGACTTTGAGAATAGGCATTATGATTTGTTTTGGTCCAAGACCAGGGTGAATGCTGTAGAATAAAAGTAAGGGATAAAAGAACACTGCAGGTTATCATTGTTCATTAGAGTAAATTAATATATATTATTACCATAATCATTTATAAAAAAGAACTGATATAGTTTGGCAAGGGATCAGATGTATATATAAAGAATTAGAGGAATTAAAAATAACTTCAAGGCTGGTGACTGATAAATTGTCTACCAGTTGTTGTGCAGGCATTTTTTAATCATTGTGGTAGGATTTACATGAGCATCGTTACCTTGTTACTGATGAAGTGACTGAGGCTCAGAATCGCTGGTGACCATCTCTTCGCTTGCAGAGCTGGGTTTGGTTCAGGTCTGGCCAGCTCTGGGTCTGTCCTCTGGCCTGTAAATCACATTGCCTCTATTTTGCAAGACTGAAAGGATGTGGTATCAGGGGCAGAGCCGGCAGTCACTAGAAAGAGGACCTGTCTGTGATCCTGAAATGACTGTGTCCTGGGAGAGGCATCCTCAGGGAGTCAGCAGCAGTGGCCTGGTGCAGAGCAGGAAGGCCAGGGTGGGATAGTAGCTTTGGAGCGTGGGGTTCTGATTGTAGGGGCGGTTGGAAGCAATTTAAGAGGATGGGCTTGTTAACAAGTTAGTTCAGAGCTTTGGGGAACACTTTCCATTTGAGGCAAGAGGAAGACGGGGTGCCAGCAGAGCAGGGAGAATGAGTCAGGGAAATAGGTGGAGCATGGCAAAGTGTGGTCTCGGGGGAAGTCAAGGGGAAAACTGAATGTGTAGCATGAGAAGCAGCTGGTGACAGAGCTCGCCTGGGGAGTGCCAGGCGCTGCTCAGGGCCCTGATGGGAGAGCGATGGTGGAAGCAGGCGAGGCATTAGGTTTCGGTGGGCAGGGCGCGTGTAAGTAAATAAATGAAAAAGATACAAAGGACATCAGTTAGTATGTGACAGGCGGGGCGGGGGGGTGTTGGGGCAAAAATACCTTTATTTTTTAAGATTTTTATTTATTTATACAAGCACTGGGTACAGTCAGAAGCGCGGGAGGGGGAGAGAATTCACCAGAGCCAGAGCGGGGAGCAGAGCAGGCAGAAGGACCGAAGTACACTGCTGAGGGGAGCAGCGGGCGGCAGGAGGGGTCTGCGTGCCATGTGGGACCCTCCTCCGGTGGCTGGGGAGCAGCTGGGGATCGAACCGGGGCCGCACGCAGAGGAGCTTCGCAACCCAGCGCTCAACCGCTGCGCCACTGGGGAGGCCCCAAAAGTATCTTTAAATGGGAAGATGAAGAAAGTAAAGATCAAGCGGAGAAAGGCCTGGGGAAGAACCATTTACAGAAAAGCAGCAGAAACAAGTGTCCTGAGGCAGCAAAGGCCCAGGGGGTTGAGGGATTTCCAGGAGCCATCAGGGGTGGAGCAGTGAGGGCAGCGAGGTCAGACAAGTGGTCAGAAGCTCCCTGGGGAAGAGCTGGCCGGACACTGGGAAGCCTGAAAGTGTGTAGGTGGAAAAAGACCTGGTCTGATTCGGGTTTTGGGAAGACAGTCGACTCTGTTGCCACACGTGGAAGGCTTGGCAGCGTGCGCACCTCACCAGCGCTGTGGGTGGTGCCTGAGGGTCAGTGGCTGAGACCACGAGGATGTAGTGTGTGGCATGAACAATCTCTGCAGATTGCTCCTGGTCAGTATCTCATTGACATTTCTAGGTCCTAGGACCATTGTCATTTTCTAGGGAATGACAGAAGAGATTCTGAAGGTTTTCTTTTGTGCTTGACATACTTTGATTGGATGCTAGGAAGGAAAGTCATGCTCATGGACGGGGCCAGCCCTTCTGCCTGATCCCAGTGGAAGAGCTGGACCTTGTGGGTGAGCACCTTGACAGCTGCGGATTCCTTGGTTTCCGTTAGGACGCTGGCCTCTGTGCCCAGCTCCACTAGTGATACCCATTAGTGTCAGGCTGAGCATGGTCACTCTCCAAGGCACTTTTTTTTTTTTCAAAGACTTATTTTTATACAAGAACCGGGGTACAGGCCAGATCCGTAGGAGGGTGAGAGGATTCACCAGAGACAGAGCGGGGAACAGAACAGGCAGACGGACTGAAATACACTGCTGAGGGGAGCAGCGGGAGAGACAGGGGAGGCCTGCTTCGCCATGTGGGACCCTCGCCGACCAGCCAGGATCGAACCGGTGCCACAGAGGCTGCAGACAGCTTCATAGTGCGGCGCTCCACCGCCTGCGCCACCAGGGAGGCCCTCCAAGGCACTTTTTAAAAAATATTTTGTTTAGAGCGTAATTTTTGATTTTTTACTATGGACATTTTCAAATAGGTCAAAGTATAAAGCATAGTCTAAGACCCGTCTCCCCGTCACTCAGTGTCCTGCTGAGTCTCGTTTCAGCTCTGCCTCTACTCTTCATCACCCTCATCTGTGTGTTTGTAAGGAAATTCCAGATAAATCATTCCCTCTATGAACATCTCAGTACATGCTTCTAAAAGATGAGGCTCTGTCCATGCTGCAGCGATTTGGATTCTTCCCTCTCAGCTCACACGCAAGCGGCTGCGTGTCTGGAGGGTTTGCCTCTGAGATGGCCAGCTTACGCCTGCTGTCCTGTGTGTGTGAGTGGCTCGCTTAAAAGAGTGGTCTCTGCCTGGACGCTGAGTTCTCTGGTCACCTGTACACACAGGAGGAGCCTTTTCATGGTGGACAGCGAACATATTCTTAAATGGCACCTTCAGGATTGAGTATTTTTCTAATAGCGTGTCACTTTTCTCCTTTTCTCTCAGGAGAGCAAGCCCCGGAGTTCACGATTCCAAGTCAGTGTGTGGTGGCATGTGGCGCTCTCGAGTCAGGAAGGAGGCTCCTGAGTCCCGTGGTAAGAGGACAGCTCTGCTGGCCACCCTGGGGTTCTCTGTGAGGGTTTGATCTGAAGTGCAAAGAATATTCTTTTGGAATCAAAAAGAAAGATTTAAACATTTGAATTAAGAAGATAATGCTTTAGAAAAATCCTGGCGTGTATTCTTGGGGATATTTGGGCAGACACTGTTCACTATCCAGGTTTAGATCATGGTCCATATTTTCTGGCTTTTGTTGTTCTTCTCTCTTGCTCTGCTTATTCAGCTCTTTCAGCAGCATTGTCTTTAGTTCGAGGGGGCCACGGCCCTGTCGCCTTCAATAGCCACATGTCTTTGGCGGGAAGCCGGAGAGCTGGCCACGCCTCTGAGCAGCACTGCTCATGGCCCACACCTGTGGCCGGGCCCTGGCTCTGTGCTCGCCTCTGACTCTTCAGAAAGGGAGTTCCAGAGGTCAGGGTTCTCCTTAGCATGCCCTAGGTTGTGCTCGGCATGTCTTACACATGCTAAGAGTGTGGTGAATACCTTTTGGAGGAACTGAATGAATGAAAGCAATTGGGAGAATATTAGGAATTTGATTCTGGGGATGCTGAGGCGGAGGGGAGAGCTTCTGAGGCCGGTCACAGTGACGTTTGGTGAGAGAATGGGCCTGGGAGTCTGTCTCAGGGCTCATTCTCCTAGAGCGCCCTCCCATCTGCGACCCGTTATTTCCATAGCAACACTTACTATTGATGTCATCTCCATGTTGGAAACTGAGGCATAAGATCTGAGGGCAAATCTGTCTCCAAAGGATAAGAAATCTGCCCCTCACTTCCGAGCATAGTGTTCTTTCTAAAAGAGCACGTTACTATTTATATGTTAGGGAGGAACACATGATGTCTGCGCAGCGAAGATAGATGAGAAGCATCCGGGAGTGCATTTGTCTCTGGATGGCTGTGCCCACTCCTGGGGAGAGATCAAGAGAACCCTCTCCACCGAATTCAACAAACAGAGCTTCTCCCAGATTGTTTCTTTCTAAAAAAATAATTCAAAAGGAGACTTCTGCCTTAGGAGGGCACGCTGATCGCTCCCAAGGCGAAATACAAGGGCGTTTCTCTGCGTCTGAAGATGACGTGGAAGCTGAGAGTCACACACGGCCGCACACGTCTTTGCCCCCTGCTAGGTGCAGTTGATCATCATTTTGTGGGACTTTAATGCTGCACTCTGGGCAGTTAAGTAAGAAGGGGGGTGTGTGTATAAGTGGGTAAACTGAAGCTGTTTTTGGACACGTGTCCATTTCTTACTCATCACAGGTAAAGTAGCCCCACTCGGTGTCATCTGAGAGGCAAAGCAATGTTCTCTTCTTCCATCTGACCAGATTCAAGCATTTTCTAGCGATGCCTTGGGCCGGGTGGGGTCATGGAATGGCCTCTTTAGCACTGACCCGGTCTCTTCCCTTCACAGGCCTGCTTGGTGGTGGTGACATCGATAAGAGGCTGGCGCGTGTCTGCTCCAGCCGGCGGCCCTGTGACTGCGGTGGTAGCCATGCACACGTGCCTGTGGTGGTAGCTATGCACATGTGCAGGCTGGCAAGGCCCAGGAGCGGGAGCGATGTCTGTTGAGGTCTCTCCCAGCCCGGGCTCCGTCTGCTGGGCTTCCGCATGGGCCTCCTCCCTTTCTTCTCATCCGCGATGCAGCACCTATCACCGTTTGATAAAGATTAAGGACACGTTCTTTGGTCAACAACCAGAACATCCGATCTGCTGGGAAAGAGCCAGAGGCCACTCCCACTACAGCTGAGGAAGATGAAATTTCCCTTTTATTGGGTGCCTTGTGCCGGGAGCACACCACCTCTCACAGGCGTGGGGGCGTGAAGAGGGCTGCGCTTGTCCACTGGGAACTCATGGTGATGGCGGGTGACCCCACGTGATCAGAGGGGCCGGCGCCACCCCTCTCATGACGGGCTATACCATGCTGCGGAGTGGGGGCGTGGGGAACGGGGGTCAGGCCTGGATGCTCTGGTGCTCCACCCGCAGCCGGCTCACGTGGCTCAGCTTCACGCTCTTCGTCATCCTGGTTTGCTTCCCGCTCATTGCTCACTATTACCTCACCACGCTGGATGAGGCCGATGAGGCGGGCAAGCGGATTTTCGGCCCACGGGCCGGCAACGAGCTGTGTGAGGTTAAGCACGTGCTGGACCTTTGCCGAATTCGTGAGTCCGTGAGTGAGGAGCTCTTGCAGCTGGAAGCCAAGCGGCAGGAGCTGAACAGCGAGATCGCCAAGCTGAATCTGAAGATCGAAGCCTGCAAGAAGAGTATTGAAAATGCCAAGCAGGACCTGCTGCAGCTCAAAAATGTCATCAGCCAGACGGAGCACTCTTACAAAGAGCTGATGGCCCAGAACCAGCCCAAGCTCTCGCTGCCCATCCGGCTGCTCCCCGAGAAGGACGATGCTGGCCTCCCTCCCCCGAAGGCCCTGCGGGGCTGCCGACTGCATAACTGCTTCGACTATTCTCGCTGCCCGCTCACCTCTGGCTTCCCAGTCTATGTGTATGACAGTGACCAGTTGGCCTTTGGCAGCTACCTGGACCCTTTAGTCAAGCAGGCCTTTCAGGCTACAGCCCGGGCCAACGTGTATGTGACGGAAAACGCAGACATCGCCTGCCTCTACGTGGTCCTGGTGGGTGAGATGCAGGAGCCCGTGGTGCTGCGGCCTGCTGAGCTTGAGAAGCAGCTGCATTCTTTACCATACTGGCGGACAGACGGACATAACCACGTCATCATCAATCTGTCACGGAAGTCAGATACGCAGAACTTGCTGTATAATGTCAGCACAGGACGGGCCATGGTGGCCCAGTCCACGTTCTATGCTTCTCAGTACAGACCTGGCTTTGACTTGGTCGTCTCGCCCCTGGTCCATGCCATGTCAGAGCCCAACTTCATGGAAATCCCACCACAGGTGCCCGTGAAGCGGAAATATCTCTTCACCTTTCAGGGGGAGAAAATTGAGTCCCTGAGGTCCAGCCTTCAGGAGGCCCGATCCTTTGAAGAGGAAATGGAAGGTGACCCTCCGGCCGACTATGACGACCGGATCATCGCCACCCTGAAGGCGGTGCAGGACAGCAAGCTCGATCAGGTCCTGGTGGAATTTACGTGCAAAAACCAGCCCATGCCCAGCCTGCCCACCGAGTGGGCGCTGTGTGGGGCGCGGGAGGACCGCCTGGACCTGCTGAAGCTCTCTACCTTCGCGCTCATCATCACGCCCGGGGACCCGCGCCTGCTCATCTCCTCCGGGTGCGCTGCACGGCTCTTCGAAGCCCTGGAGGCCGGGGCCGTTCCGGTCGTGCTGGGGGAGCAGGTGCAGCTTCCCTACCAGGACATGCTGCAGTGGAATGAGGCGGCGCTGGTGGTGCCCAAGCCGCGCGTCACCGAGGTGCACTTCCTCCTACGGAGCCTCTCGGACAGCGACCTGCTGGCCATGCGGCGGCAGGGCCGCTTCCTCTGGGAGACGTACTTCTCCACCGCCGACAGTATTTTCAGTACCGTGCTGGCCATGGTCAGGACCCGCATCCAGATCCCAGCCGCCCCCATCCGCGAGGAGGCTGCCACCGAGATCCCCCACCGCTCGGGCAAGGCGGCCGGGACGGACCCCAACATGGCCGACAACGGGGACCTGGACCTGGGGCCGGTGGAGACCGAGCCGCCCTATGCCTCGCCTAGATACCTCCGCAACTTCACTCTGACGGTCACCGACCTCTACCGCAGCTGGAACTCTGCCCCCGGCCCGTTCCACCTCTTCCCCCACACGCCCTTTGACCCCGTGTTGCCCTCAGAGGCCAAGTTCCTGGGCTCTGGGACTGGGTTTCGGCCCATTGGGGGTGGAGCTGGGGGCTCTGGCAAGGAGTTCCAGGCAGCGCTTGGTGGCAACGTGCCCCGGGAGCAGTTCACGGTGGTGATGCTGACCTATGAGCGGGAGGAGGTCCTTATGAACTCTCTGGAGAGACTGAACGGCCTCCCTTACCTGAACAAGGTGGTGGTGGTGTGGAATTCTCCCAAACTGCCCTCGGAGGACCTTCTGTGGCCTGACATCGGCGTGCCCATCATGGTAATGGCTCAGTGAGCCGTCTGTCTCCTGCCCGGGGCTCCTCTCTGCACCCCTTCATCGCCACATCCTCTTTGTGTCCTGACCTCTGCAGAGCCCCTGCCCCGGGAAACTCCTGCCTGCCTTTCCCCCAGTCCTTGCACGCCCGGCCATTTCCATCCCTGCCGCTCGCTTCCTAAGCCTCCTGAGTCTCCAGAGCTGACTTTGATACTGGCCCCGTGAAAGTTTGCAGAGCCCCATACCCTCCTGTGTCCTTTCAAAAAGGTGGTGAGAATTATGCTGGGTAAAGCGATCATTTGATAAATGCTGTGATTTAGGCTGACTAATTGAGCATTTATAGAAGACACATTATCTACTGTGATTTCTACATTTCATGTTTATGGAGATTGAGACTCAGGTTGATTATCTTGCCGAAGGTCATGATTTGTAATGGAGAAACTGAGCTGTGTTTGTCTGATTCTAGAAGCTGCAGCTTCAGTCACCTCTCAAAAGGTGTAGGGAGAATGCCTGTGTCATTTACCAGGCCGTGTCAGAAGGCTTTCGGGAGATTGGAGTCCAGTGGGAGGCCCTGAGCCCTTACTCCATCTGTCTTGGTGAGGATGCTGTGTTTTACAGGGAAAGTAATATCCGTGCATGAAGATTAGGACTTTAATTCTGACCCACCTCGCATAAACTTGGCGATCCAGACAGTACCCGTTTATCTTAAATGTGAGGCTCTAAGGAAACTGCCAACTACTTACTGCAGCGTTGGTACTTTCCAGAAAAAGGTAGCAAAGAAGGGCAGTAGGTGTGAGGGGGTCGTGTGTTCCTGGTAGCTTGCTTAAGAAAATGAGTGTAGTTTTAAAAAAAATTTATCTGGAAGGGGGGATGTTGGGGCTAATTTTATAGGGAAACTAATTCATGTGAAACATCTTAAAGCAGCTGTGTGGCATAATAGAAAGCATGATTTTTGGAGTGATGGGGACTAGGGGTTGAATACTCATTTTGTGGTCTTGGATAAGTTAATTAACTGACTTCAGGGTTAAAGAGGATTCTCAGGCAGGCAAGGAATCTAGAAAGGTGCTTGTTAATTTTGATTCCTGCTCACCCCTTGATGTCAGAGCAGGTGGACGGGAGCGGTAGCTCCTGCCCCCCCGCCCCCCTCCCCGTGAAGGCGTCAGTCCTGCCACCAGGTTCCTGGGGTCGCAGCTGTCACCACTTACAGAGTACCTGGCGGCCTGTCTGAAATTTCTTACTGCTCATCTTTTCTTGTATCTTATTTATTTACTTTCAAATTTATTTTTCATTGAGGTAATACTTGGATTCCCCCATCAGCTAGCACCACTATAGTGCACCCACCCCAAATCACCCACAGTCCACCAGGGTCCGCTGTGCTCCCTTCCCTTCGCTGTCACCCCTCCCTCACCCCTGCCCCAACCTGGTGCTTCAGTTCTGCAGTCAGCCATCCACGGGCTGTTTATAAGCTTGTTTTTATCGGATCTCTTAGCTTAGTTACTTTATATTCCATGTATTAGTGACACCATCCGGTATTTTATTGAATTCATAATCTGAAACTATTCAAACTGTGTAGGGTTTTAAAGATTCTGGACTCCAGAAAAAAAAAAGTGTTACAATGGGAAGATGTTAGAGTTCTTCCCAAATACATTTCACTCTTTTCCCTTTCAAAATAGTTTTTTGACTGTCATTGAAATTACGGAAGAAAAGCACTTGTCCTGTGAAAGGTGGCTGGGGCGCAAGCAGCCCAGTGAAGCCTTTGCCTCCATCCCGCTTCCCCGAGCTCGGCGGGGTGCCGGGGAGCTGGCGCTCAGCCCTGCTGCACCGTGACGGAAGCTCACGGGCAAGTGGGCCAGGACTTCTTTCCTGTGAGGCTGGCGGGCAGCGAGCGGGCTGCTTTGATGACTGGCAGCGCGTTTTAGAGAGGCCACGGCCACCACCACCCAGGCACTGGGGCTCGGTGGGACCCGCAGCCCCTCCCCTGTGGAAAGCAGCACCGCTAGGACACTCCTCAGTCGACTCTCCACCCCTGCTGTGGGTGTGACCTCTTCCTAAGGTGGCGCTCGAGGCTTGGTGAGATTAGTGGCAGGGCGGTTCCAGGCACCCTTCCAGATTCCAGTCCTTCAGGGAAGGTGATCTGGAATTGGGATTGGCTGAATGAGTCAGTCAGGAGCCCACTTGCCTGTCAGAAAAGGGTGGGTGATTTGTGCTTCTCTCACCCAAGCAAGGGCAGGGCCATGAGCTGGGTAGCTGTGGGCCCTCTGTGTGGCGGTGAGAAGGATGGTCTGAAGGGTGCCTCCTGGGATTTAATGTTAAAATTCCCCCTCCTGTTCCACTAATTACGTAACAGGGGGCTCTGCATGGGCTCTGACTTGAGTGTGCTCTTCCTGGCCCCTCCTGGCCCAGGTGCTCTGTGGAAAGAGGATTTAGTTCAGAGGGGAGAGGGCCTGGCCAAGGTGGCGTGGCTGGAGTAGCCCCCACCTGGCGGGTGGGGCTGCGGAGCAGAGATGCTGGCCTGGGTGCTGCCAGCTTCGTGGACAGTCACAGAGGCGTGTGTGGCGGGAGGCCCTGGGCAGTGGCGGTCACGGCCGGGCTGGGCGTTTTCTGCTCCTGAAAGGCGTTCCCCTGACTCTAGACCGCCTGAGTTTCTGGTAATGCCAGTGTTTTCTCAGATTTTGTTTCCCAGGAGTGACGTGACCTCTCTGGCTGCCCTCGGGAGTTTTGGTTTTTAACTGACTTTGAGCAATCGGACAGTGGTGTGCTTGGACCTGGCCTTGTTTGGTTTTTATTCTGATTGGGGAGCCCGAAGCTTGAATCTGTCAGTTTGTTTTTCATGTTACTTTGAGGAATTTTTATGTATGACTTACTCAGACACTCTCCTGCCCCTTCTTTGGAGACCGTTCGGTGTGCACGAGGCGCCCGGGGCCTCAGTGCTCAGTGCTCTCTTCTTTTTTGTTTTTGATTTCTTTTTCTTTAGTTTCGATAATTTCTGTTGATTTGCCCTTGAATTCACAGCCTTTTGTATCATCGCCACTCTCCTGTTGAACTCACACAGTGACTTTTCAATTTCAGGTGCTGTATTTTCCATTTATAAGGGTAGTTTCTGTTTCTCTGCTGAGATTTCCTGTCCTTTTTTCCGTTCTGCATACACTGTTCTTTATTCTCTGGGCGCAGTTAATGGTAGCTGCTTGAACACCTTTGCTAATTCCAACAAGGGCCATATTTTTTAGTTCTTCATATATCAAAGAATTTTATATTAAACCCTGCACATTGTGAACGCTAACTTGTGACAACTGTGGGCTTGGTTTGGAAAGTGCTGCTCTTTTAGTTTTGGTGAGCTGTTCATTTGGTTAGGCCAGACTGAAAGCTCCTTCTCTTGAGCGCCAGCTGTGAGCGCGGTCCGTGCTTACAAGGACGCCGCGCACGCCTGATGCAGCGGCGGACAGAGCCGGGGGTTTGTGCACGGAACTTGGCTCTGTGTGTCTGGCTCTCCTTTCTGGAATCTCCTTTCTTGCTAGGTGCTGTGGTTGCCCCAAACTCTTCCCTCTTACCCTCCAGGCCCGTGAGACCTGGGTGTGGGCCGAGGGTGCCAGCTGCCCTGCCCGGTCTGACTGGCCTGCTTCTGGGCTGGAAGCAGCAGTGGGTGCTTGTGTCAGCAATTCCCTCCTAAATTTCCGCTCCCCTCCGTAATAGTTGCCTCCTGTTGTTCACTGCCCAGTGCCTTCGGAGAAGTGCAGTTTTGGCATTTCCCCCCAGAGTTTAGTTACCCACGGCAGGAGGATCGGGTCTGGTAAGAGTTTCTTTAGCCAGACTGGGAGCAGATACCTCCAAGTCCTCTCTTCGGCATATATAATCCCAGCAAAAACTTTGGCTAGAGTTACGGCTTTATTCTGACCAGTGAGCACTCGCTCCATACCCTGGAAAAGAGTAAGGAAGTGGTCTTGTTGGAGCATTCTGTGGGAATGAGAACATCAAGACCTGTCCCTGGGAGTTTAAACTTGGGCTGTTGGGCAGGAAACAGATTCAGTTATTAACTGTGCCCGACTCACTCAAGACATGAATCATCTTCACGCTCCGCGCTTGGTTGTCCAGGCAGTCTGTGCCAGCCAGCCCGCGAGCCTGCTTCTCTGTACTCCTTTCTGTGAGCGGCACAGAGCGGATTACACTGGGCGCCTGGGAAGGCCCCTTTGAAAGGGTCACATCTGAGCAGAAGCTTGAGCGAGGTAGAGAAGGAGCCACGTACACGCTGGAGGGGTGTCTAGGGAGCAGCCTGAGTAAGAAGCATCTCCTGTTCAGGCACAGCCAGGCTGAGACACCGGTGTCTCCGGGGTGGAGATGAAAAGGAGACGGGCGAAGGCCCAGGCTGGCCCATGTGGGCCCACACAGCCCTGAGGGGAGTCAGTTTGTTCCCAGGGGGGAGGGTGGTGGTGGTGGGTTTTGAGCAGGGGTGGTAGGATACATGTGGGGCCCTGGGGAAAAGAGCAGAGGCAGTTTAGAGGGTCTTGCAGTAGCCTAGGGAGGGGACCTGGTGGCCGGGGCGGGGTTGGTTCACAATCCCCAGTGGGCCCCACGGTCCCTGTGGAAGGCCAGGACAGGTTACTTTGCCCTTCGTCCTAGCCCTTGATGGCACAATTGAAGAAGCAGAGTTCTGCTTTAGGAACATGTCAAGCCCGAGTGGTGGTTTTCCTGCCGTTGCCACGGTGACCCACTGAGGGAAGGTCGGGAGACTAGAAGAGGAACTGGGCATCCTTCAAACTGGGGCTCGGGCCTCTGCCAGTCAGGCTGCAGGGGCTTTCCTCCTTGCTGCGCTGCAGGCGGGAGTGAGTGGGAGAATCCTAGTGGCTTGTTTATTCCCTGGCAGGTTGGTATGCTTTGTTTTTCATCTGTGTCCACTCTGCTTTTAAGAATACTACTTGGAGGTACCAGATGAAATTTTTAAAAATTGTGGTTTCTAAGCAAAGTGGATGGGAAGACCTTACCCGGTTTCTCTCATCCAGGCTGTGCAGCGTCCGGTAGGCCTCACCAGGCACGCGTGTCCGGGGGTGGTTTCTACGACAATATTTTGTCTAGTAGCTGGTGGTTGCAGTGCTGGCTCTTTTTCTGGTTCTGAATGGGCTGCAGGGCTGGGAGTATCCTGTGGAACAAAGCTACCAGAGATCGTGAATTAATAGCGAGCATTCTGGCTGCAGGAAGGATCTGCTGGAAAGTCAGGTTGCGGAAGGGACTCGCTAGTGGCGTCAGAGCAGACGCTTGGACGGTGGCCCCCCCTTTCGTTTCCGTGCGCCCCTCTCACCAGCTCGAAGAAAGGCATCTGAGGCCGCAGGGTCCCTCGACTGGTGTTTCGCTGAGTGCTGAGGCCTCAGGACTTCTGACCACAGCCCATGGGTGCTTTCCTTTCTGCGCGTGGGCAAGGGGTCAGGGCCCGCACCCCCCGCACTGGCCTGCTCTGTGGTCGCTCGCTTGGGGGGGGCTGCAGCCGGTCCCGTCTAGCTTCCCGGGCCGGTGGCAGGTCTTCTCTCCATTGAACAGACTTGTCTGCTAACCTAAAACTTAGCCGTTTTTCAGTACTTCATTACACCAGATTTAAGGTCAGACGTGAAAACCAGTTCTCTGCGGGACCTCGTGCGGCTGCTCCTGAGTCGCCCCCGTCTGCCCCCGTCTCCTCCGCCACCCTCGTCCCACACGCGCCCTGCGCTCCGCTCTCTGCCTCTCCCCGCCGCCAGGGCCTGCGAGGCCGCGGTGGGCGCGCTGTGCATGCACCCGGGAAAAGTGCGCCAGGGCGGGGAGTGGCTCCTGCCTTGGCTGCCTTGGGGTTTCTTTCTTTCTTCTTTGTCATAGAAAACTATTAAATACTAAGAGGTTTTGGTGTAGTGGATGTTTATAGTTTCCCTATAGGGACTTCTCACGTTTCCAGTCCGTATTCTGAAAATAGGAAATTAGGTCCTCTGTGCTGCTCGCTGTCTGGTCACTCGCTCACGTGTGGCGCGGGTGTCGGACGTGCTCCCCGCGCAGGCTCTGCGCTCAGTGCCTTTTGGTCGCATCCATACTCGTGGTGAAGGCAGTGCCTTGCAGGTCAGTCTTCAAGCTCAGGGGTGACTAAGGAGCCATCTGAGGCGTAAAGAAGAGGGAGGGGCATTGCTTTTATTTGAAACAAAACAATGTCAACAAAGCGAGGCTGTTTCCTGAGCGCGTCATGCCACTTCTGCGCCTCTCCTCCCTCTCATGATTTCTGCCGCTTCTCAAACTCCCTGGGACAGCGCAGAGAACGGTGTCTGTGGTGCCAGGTGGCAGGGGCTGGTTCGTTGTGCCGTTGTCTAGCATTAAGCCCTGTAGCTTGGAAGCAAAACTGTCAGAAGAAAGCCTGTTGCTCCCCCCACTCGTTTGCTTTGCATCTGCAAGGTCTGTGAGGGCAGAGAGCTTTCTGGCGGCGGGAGGCGTTTGTCCTTTAACGTCCTGGTGGCGCTACTGCCCCCTGGGGGCCGACGGTAGCCCCGGCCTCTCAGCCGCGGCACCTGTGCCCCTGCCCGCTGACGGGGCTTTGTGATGGGCTGGCCTGAGGCCGCTGGGGTCTAGCGGCACCCCTGCCCCTCCCCGCTGCTGGCGGGTGGGTGTGACGACCAGAAAATGGGCGCGGGCACTGTCAGATGTTCCTTGGGGAGCGTTGCTGCTGGTTGAGAAATTCCGCCCTGAACCCTCAAGCAGACGTTTTGACCACGGCGCGGCTGACCGCAAGGGAGCTGCGGCTGGAGGCTGCGCTGCTCTGAACCTGTAAAAGCTTTTCTTTTATACTGATGACTGTTGCTCGGTCCCGTTCCTGAAAATCTCGCTGTCTGCAGCCAGGGTTGTGCCGGGGTGAGCAGGGGGTCTGTGTACCTATTTCTAGATCCACCGTAGTTATTCTTAATGGATTCTCCTCTTAATGGACGTCAATAAATTTGGAGGTGAAACCTAGGCCAAAGCACACTTCGTGTCAGACCTTCAGCTCCAGGTCTCCAAAGGACGGGTTCTCTCATTTGAAAATAGAAAATTCACTTTGTACACCAGACAGAAGATTCTGGCTGTGCCCTGGGAGTCACGTCCTGATCGCTTTGGATGTTTTCCAGTTAAGAGTGGAGGGTTTATAGGATTGTCAGATGTGGTGGAGGAGCAGGCTCGGTTGTGTACACAGCACGATGCCTCAGCTCAGCAGAGGGGCTGCTAAGTGGCAGAGTTGTGATTTTGACCCCAAGCTTTTCTGATTGAGCGCCCCCACCCTAGCCCTGCTTTTCCCTGTGTCAGTGCCTCTAGAAGTGTGTGTTGGAACCATCCCAGATCCTGTGACATCGCAGGTATGGGGCAGGCCTGTCCCACAGCCCCAGGGGGTGCCCAGTGTGCTGGGGACCACGCTGTGCTAGGGAGCCCGTGTGCTGGGGATCCCGCTCTGAGCACCGGTGCCCTGTGCTGTGTCCTGGGTCACTAACGCTGCTCCTTGTCTGAACTCTGCTTGCCTCTGCAGATAGTTGGCGCGTTGCCGTTGGCGAGTGAGCATTTGCTCCTGCTCCCAGGGGGTGAGCCCGGGCTGTGGTGCTGAGGACTGGTCTGCGCCCCCTCCCCCCCTTCCCCTGGAGCCAGACTCAGTGCCCTTGTAGACTCCAGGGATTTGTGAGTGTGGATGTGAAGTTTATGAGCCAAATGGGGAATTCCAGAGCTGGGAATCATAATCCAGTTCTACTCTGCCACCTTGTGTTCTCTCGTGAGAGTTATTTTTAATTTCCCTAGACTGTATCACTCATTTACTCATGTCAAATAATCCTCAGCTTTAGTTTGTTTCACAAGGATGTTAGTTGGCAAGTGAGTAAAGCTTAGGATGTGAACTCCTTACACACTTGCTGAATGATCAGGCAGCTCTGATTCCCGAAAGGCTGTGCTGGGCTTTCTGAGAGGCGGCTCTCAGCTCAGACTGCTGGGTGCGTCCAGCGGTCTCCTTGGTCCTCGGGCTGGCCTGGCTCCGTGCTCGCCAATGCAGCATTGACCGCGGTGTTGCCCCTGTTGCAGGTGGTGCGCACGGAGAAGAACAGCTTAAACAATCGATTCTTGCCCTGGAATGAAATCGAGACAGAGGCCATCCTGTCGATTGACGACGACGCACACCTCCGCCACGATGAGATCATGTTCGGGTTTCGGTGAGTAGCTGGTTCCCAGCCAAGGCACACTTGGTCCGCAGCTGGCAGGAGCCCACTCGCCTGTGTCAGGCAGCAGGTGTGCCCCTGGCAGATCGTGACTGAGGAAGCCTCCGCAGTGACCAGGACTCTCTGGGGACAGAGCTGGGCCCGGGGCCTTTGCTGGTATCAGAGACTCCATTTCTCGTTCCTGCTAGGCTTCCCTCTGGGTTGCCTCTCAGGGAGATGAAGTTCCTTGATTATCTGGAGGGGTCACCTTCCTGCCCACCCCGGGCCTCTGGTGGGCTGGGGCGAGGAGCAAATGTGAGCTGTTTGTGTCTAGCGATGAGGACTGACTCCCAGGCCAGAGAGGCCACGTGGCTGTGATGGAGCCAGAATCCCGGACCCTAGAAGATTTGGGGAAATACCTAAACAAAGGGATGTTTTTAGCACAAAAAGAAAGGAAGTACCGGGACACACTACACCCGGGTGGGGGATTTGGAGAGGGCGGCCTGGAAATGGGCAGCGTGAACAAGCCCCTCAGCAAGGCCATGTCCTGGCTGATTCTGTTGGCGTGAAACACTCCCAGGAGACAGCCCAGAGTGATGGAAAGACCAGCAGCTGTCACAGACCGGGGAGGAGGTGAGGAGGGACTGGTACTAGTTATATGGTTTCTTTTTGGGGTGACAGATATCCTGACATTAGTGGGGATTAGTTGCACAGCTCTGTGAAGATACTTAACAAATCACACATTTCTAAATAAGTGAATTTTATGGTGTGTGGTTTATAGCTCAGTAAACTTCAATTTAAAGAAAAGTTGACCACGTCAGCTCAGGTGGCGCGGGACTGGGGGCCGAAGGGAGCTTCTCCTCCTGGACCCCGAGCGTCTGGTTACCTCAGACCCAGAACTTTTGAATTCATTGACAGATCTGCCGTCTGTGGCTCTGCTTTATGACTTTCCTAAGGGAGCGAACAAAAGCTTTCCCCTTTGCCACGCTTTAGTGTAGGTTCTCAGCGTTTTTGCCCTGGAGAGGGGAAGACCTACGTCTATCAGAATCACAGGTTGGAAAAGAAGCCATTGTTTATTTAGATGGGCAGAAGCAAACTCACACCTTGCAGTTTTTATGCATTCTTCATTAGTTTTTATCACACTCTTTTTCTTGTGTTTTCAGATTGTTTATCCTGGATTGTAGCCAGAGGGAAAAATATGCAGGTGTAGCCAGCAGAGAAGAAAGGGAAAAAGGTCTGGAAGATCAAGGCTCCAGTGATTGTCTCAGAGCTTTGTGCTCAGGTGTGTGCATGTCCTTGTGTGTTTCAGGGTGTGGAGAGAGGCGCGGGACCGCATCGTGGGCTTCCCTGGCCGCTACCACGCGTGGGACGCCCCTCACCAGTCCTGGCTCTACAACTCCAACTACTCCTGCGAGCTGTCCATGGTGCTGACGGGCGCTGCCTTCTTCCATAAGGTGAGACAGCCTGGTAAGAGCCCAGGCTCTTTGTGGAGGTGAAGTGTTCTTACCACTAGAGTTCTTACCACTTTGTGAAAGTGGGGCTACTAGAAAATTCTAAATGCTGCGTATGGTCTGTGTGGCTATTTCTGTGGGTCTCTGTGACAGCGCACCTTCCCTTCCACATCCTTCCTGTGGGCGCAGAAGAATTCCTGTTGCCTGCCTCCCACCTCACAGGATGGCAGCTCTGCCTCCCGACTGAAACCTGGCTTTTCTCTGGGGACATTGCTTTCTCTTCAGCTTGCGCATGTTTGTCTCCAGGGACTGTGATTGAGCCTGCTCATTTCCCAAATCTGTGGGACTTAGTTAACAGTGACACTTCTCAGCTGTCATAAAGTCTCGTTTAAAGCTCATGCCACCTACCTAGCCGCCCCCTCCAGCCTCTGATCATCCTCTCACTGTCCCCAGGGGCGTGGACACCCGGCCTGCGCCCTGGTCTCCGCTCCTCAGTCTGGGCAACGTGGTTGTCCTCGTGCTGGACCCGAGGCCCCCGCTTCTTCCTGTGTCCTCTTCCTTTCCCCAGACCTCGCACCTCCTCGCACCGACACACTGTTCAGTCCCTGACTTTTCCCCGAAGTCTTTCCTCAGAAGTTTAATAGTTTTCAGGGTGTCCCCTGGGTGTCCCTCATGTCCTTCTGACAGAACTGAACCTGTCTTCCCCCAAAGCCCATGGTCTCTCTCCAGCTTCCCTCATGTGTTTCATCTGCCAGAGGGTGACCTTGCAAGTCCTTCAGACAACCTTGAAAGTCATTTTCTGGAGACATTTTGAAGCGGCCTAAAAAGGGATTTAACTTTCAGTGGCTTTTAAAAAATCTTTAAAATAATCCAGTGTGCACAGCTGATGTGCCCACCCCATTCGCGAACCCCATTCGCACACTCGGTCTCCAGACCTGGGCTGGGCTGTGGACTGAGCGTCTGCTAAGAAGCCACATCTAACTGGGAGTTGAGAGAAACCACCGTCCATGTGAGCCGTCTGCTCGGACCTTGAGCGCTGACGTGCCTTCGGAAAGTCTGCCTTCTCCAATTCTCTGGTGGCTCCTTAGAAGTTATGATAGTCGGATCCATTACTTTCAAGTGATGAGTAACTTACTCTGTAAAACCTAGGTTTTATTCTGTTTGAAAATCCAGAGTATGGGTCACAAATTAGCAACTTGAAAGCCTTCCAGGGCTTGCCAAAAGGGTTGTTTAGCTCTCAGAGCTTCCAGGTTTTAAAAATCACTAGATTTTACCAAAAGCTCTGAACCCCAATGAATTGGAAGCTGAGGTCTTCCTGGGCAACCTCCTTGTGTGGCACTGAATGACTGGAGCCCAGTGGCCTCTCCTGGGGCAGCGGGGCACTCATGTTCCTGTGGACCTTTCATTTTCTTACACCTGTTTGAAAAAAAATAAAAGTTACTTATTTGCCTTATTTTTGTTTCACTCTTGAAAACAGTTGATTTTCCCTAGTCAAATTTTTTTTATTACAAGTATCAACAAAATTTTTTTAACTGATACCTCACATAACTATCCATGATTATGTCCTGGGAGAGACATCTTGCTTCTGTGCCTGTTACGTCATGATCTTCCTACGAGGCCGGATTTTGTTGGAATTGGACTAGAATTCCCATGTTTTGTGATACCGTTCAGGGTTTTTTGTTTTGTTTTGTTTTAGAAAACTAATGAAAGATTTTAATGTTTTTACATTCTAGAGTAGGTTCTGAACCCATTGAACTTTTCATTTAGAAGGTTTTCAGGCAGGCTGTGGAAGATTTTCCATGTTTTACAGTGCAGAGATATGAAAGCTGTGGATTTACAGAAATGATTTTTGGCAGCAAAATCACATAATTGGTGGAGCTACTCCTAAGCATTTGTTTTCGCAATGCTTTCTCCGTATGTTCTTTAAAGCAGTTCTTTTTTTGTTAAAAGATTGATGAAAGTATGGATTGTGTTTAATTAATGGGTACAGACTCAATATCATACTAAAGCTGCCAGTGGCCATTTGAAGGGTCAGCAGATTTGATTTGCCTGTTTCATAAAAGAGAAATGCATAAGTTGTTTTTCAAGTTCACCATCTCTTAAGAACTTTGCTGCAAGATAACCAGCAAACTTCTGGATGCTGCAAACATTTTATGATCATTCACCACATAAATCCTACTTTTTAAGGTAACAAGATACGTATATCGGCTTTCCCGATACACCGCCTGTGCATCAGCAGCATGCCGCAGCACACTGCAGTTCACTTGTGCCCCGTTTTATAATATTGGCCCATTTCTGTGGTGTGACTGTGACCGTGTGGTCGCCTTTTCCTCTCCTACCCGAGCCCCTGAGCGTGGAGCTGGGATGAGACGGGCAGTTGTGTGTTCACCCTGTGGATGAGATGGACATTAATATCGCAAGATGACAGTGAACTGTAACAAATTAATTAAGCGATGAGCTCCAGGTGCTTATTGCCTTGATTTTTAATATAACTCATTTACGTTTATGCTATTATTCTTTTAATAATGGCTGCTTCAATGCAAGCACCTGAAATTCCTGAAGCCTTAGCAGTTGCCACTTGGCAGCAGGTGTGAGCCGGCTTCACAGCCTGCAGTGGCTTGCAGGACATTTTAAGATCTTGGGGCTTTTACTCTGAGTGAGATGAGAAGGGGGTGGGGTGGCGCCTGCAGTAAAAAGGGGGTGACATGTTCACTTGAGCTTGTGTTTAACTCAAGCACTGCTGCGCTCTGAACTAACTGTAGAAAAAATAATATGATGTGGAGACTTCAGGAAATGATGTGGATAATCCAGGCAGGAAGAGAGGGTGGCTTCGAGCAGGGAGCAGACTCCAGCATCTGCGATGAGGCTCTAGAGGTTGCCTGCCCCATGGCTCAGTGACTTTCTGAGGGCCAGGTTTACCCCTCACTTATATGGCTGTTGTCAGAGAGAGAATGTCATTCATCTGAACTGGTGTGTGGCCTGATTTCACAAATCTTCATGTTGCAGAATTTCCACGGTGCCAGGAAAGCAAATTTTGACTCCCCAAGGTGGGGCCATGGCACTTTGTTTGGGACAGTCTTTATGGCAGAGGACAGCCTAGGAGAGTGGCACCCCTGCTTCCCAGTTCTCTGTAGTGTTGCTCAGTGATTGCCACACCCAAAACACGTGCCCCACCCAAAATGACAGCTCCTGGATACATGCCAGAGAACGGTGGCCTCTAACAGAGTGCGCGGCTTTCTCTGCCCTGACAGTATTATGCCTACCTGTACTCTTACGTGATGCCCCAGGCCATCCGGGATATGGTGGACGAGTACATCAACTGCGAGGACATCGCCATGAACTTCCTCGTGTCCCACATCACTCGGAAACCCCCCATCAAGGTGAGAGCCCTGCTCCTCCAGGCCTGCGGGCCTGGTGCTATGCGCACGTGGGGGTTGGCAGGAGTCGGGCGGTACGTGCTCCTCTAGCCCTCAGGCCTCTGCTGTGGAGCCAAAACCGGGCCCCTGCGGGTCAGGTGGTTGTCGGCACAGGGGCCCTGCCCTCCTAAGGTTGAGTGGATAGAATTCAGAGGATTTGGAACTTGGATGAGGAAAGTATTACATCTTTAATTTTCAATCATTTCTACCTGGAATTTAGCATTTCTGTTGGTTATGAAACAGACTGCCGTTCCTAAGAGCATTTGTGGTAGCTCATTCGTCATCTGTAGAACTTACATAGAACTTGTTTTCACGTCTCATGACTTTCGTGGTTACATCTCAGCATTACTTGTGTTTATCACTGCTTTGAAATAAAGAAGCTGTGAAGAACAGTAGTCACGATTCCCTGTGTAAAGTGTGTTTTCCAGCCGCAGTGTTCATCCTGACATTAACAGCGAGAAGTGCTCTTTGTAAACTTGAAGGTAGGGAGACAAAGGTCTTCGAAAGACATTAATAATGGGTGCAATTTTCTGTTCTTTATCCTTTTTTACGTAGGCAGGGCCTGGGCAATAGCCAAGATGTACCTTCTATTTATACTCCCTAGTGGGCCAGAGACATCATCTTTGAAAATCTAAAGCATCTGAGTCATCAGGCACCTAATAATGTCATAGTCACTGACGGACTCCAGACTCGATGCATTTTCATCTTCATTAAAGTGTCTGCTGCCTTATTAGGCCAGTGTCCAATTAGCTAAACCTTCTCTTCAGCATAGAGAGGAGGACGGAAATAATTTGCAAATGCATGCAGGATTCTTTCCAATGAAAACTTGAAAAATGGCATTTTCTGTGAGTTTACTTGATCTTCTGTTGATCTTGACTTGAGTTCAAGTCGAGATGACTTGTTAAAATCAAAGGCTCCCTGAAATTAAGAATGTCTTCAGATTCTCATTTCCTTCATTGCATAGGACTAGTTAGAACTAAATATTTTTTTGATCTGCTTAATTTTGATAGTACCAAGTATATGCTCTTTCACGTTCTAAAGTAATTTTTTTTACTTTAAATACTTCAAATTTTAACTGTTGAGCTGTTCACTATTGCCGGAGGCCAGCTCCAGCAAAATGTCCTGTCAGGGTCCCCGCAAGGACGAGATGGCGTCGGCAAAGTGGAGGGATGAGGGGATGAGGAAATGAGGTAGATGAGGTAGTGAGGAGGCACTGACACTTGATCAGGGTGCAGACATCTCCTGCTGAGGGTCTCAGTGGGTCTTTATTTATTTAAAGAAATTTTATTTATTTATTTACACAAGCACTGGGTACAGTCAGAAGCGCGGGAGGGCGAGAGAATTCACCAGAGCCAGAGCGGGGAGCAGAGCAGGCAGAAGGACCGAAGTACACTGCTGAGGGGAGCAGCGGGCGGCAGGGGAGGTCTGCGCGCCATGTGGGACCCTCGCCCTGCGGCCAGGGATCAAACCGGCGCTGCAGAGGCTGCGGGCAGCTTTGTAGCCCAGTGCTCGACCGCTGCGCCACCGGGGAGGCCCTCAGTGGGTCTTTCTTTATACATCAGAAATTGTTATTTGATCATTACATCATGCAGTCATGTGATTTTACTTTTACATTGCTTCAGAATTTATTAATGGTCATTAACAGTGCACAGTCCTTTTTTAATTTTCCCAGACTATGATTCACTTGGTTACTTGGTTACATTACCTTGGTTACTTTATTTCCCTAGGTGATGCATGTTATTCAGAAAATAGAAACAGGTGCTACACAGCGTGATTTATGCAGTCAAGCTAGGTAACTTAAAACAAGGCTCAGCAGGCATTTGTAAGATCGAGGGCAGCTTCCTATTTTCTATATAGAACCAAGGGGTCCCGGGGCCATGGGAACAGTGTGTGGTGTGTTTCTCTCAGACCATTTCACCTCCCCGGGTGCCTCGGGGCCCTCTCTAGTGGGGACTTCTACCGGGCTCGGTTCCGTCAGTTCTATCAAGCGTGGTTTGTCAGAGAACTCAGTGTTACTCATGGTCACTGCAGTACAAATTGGAGGATGTGGAGAATTGTTGGAAACCGTTTCATTATCAGTCATGTTGGAAGGTGCTTTTCTCAAACTCCTGAGGTGTGCGTTCCCGAAACTGGCATTGATGCCAGCACTCATTGTGTTATTCTAAAGCTTATAGAAAATTTCCATGGTTTCAATAACTGCCACAAACAAATGAAAGGAAGTAGCAGGAGCCAGCTGTGGAGTTTCCTGACTTTTCAGGAGTTTTCCCTCATGCCCGGACCGTGTCAGACAGCATGAGTAGCGTGGCCCGCATCACACTATTGAACATATTTATAATTAGGGAGGTGTGATTGCTTCATATGTTTTGCAGTGTTCTTTTTTTTAATATGCGTATCTTAACAGTGGTACTGAAGAACCTAGAGTTCATTTTGTATTACTGCTTTGGATAATGTCCTGTTCTTTGTGAGGAGGAGAAAGATCTAGAATGTAAATAGGCTTCATTAAAAGGATAAAGCACTGAGAAGATGGGTGGCGTGGGTGAGCCGCAGAGAGAGGAGTGTGAGTGCACATGTGACCCTGTGGTAGCAGTGGCCCCCCACCCTGCCGCCGGGGTCTCTTTCACAGCTGCCAGACGGTGCCCGGCGCCCTGAGACTGAGGTGCCAGTGATGCCCCAGGAGACACGGACACTGGTTAATTTTTGGAGATATATGTTACAGTGTGTGTACACACACACATGTGTAGTATATACACCGACACCTTTTTTTTTTTGGATGTATCATCTAATGTGTCTAGTTTGTTTTTTTCATTAAGGTGACGTGGGTTCACAGCACTGTTCATGATCCGGTGCTTTGGGGTCACGCCCTCTGGGTGTGCGTTTCCACACCCAGGCCTGCCCAGGACCCGCCCCGGACCCGCCCTTCTGCCATCGGGCTTCTCCCGTGGGTCTGGTTTGGCTTCGCCTGGCCCTCCACGGGGTGTCTCCGGGCCCACGTGCAAGTGGCCTGGCTGACCGCGCTCCGCCGCGCGCCCTCCGGCTCCGCGGCCCAGACGCCGGGCCTGGCCTGGGCATGCCGGCAGGGGCGCGGGGCCGACGCCGGCGCCTCAGGGCCCGGCGGGCGTCGGGAGGGCCAGCCTCCGCGGGCTCCTCATCGCTGCACTCTCTCCCCGTCTCCAGGTGACCTCCCGCTGGACTTTCCGCTGCCCGGGCTGCCCGCAGGCCCTGTCCCACGACGACTCCCACTTCCACGAGCGGCACAAGTGCATCAACTTCTTCGTGAAGGTGTACGGCTACATGCCGCTGCTGTTCACGCAGTTCCGCGTGGACTCCGTGCTCTTCAAGACGCGCCTGCCCCACGACAAGACCAAGTGCTTCAAGTTCATCTAGGGGCTCGCAGGTTCGGGGAGCGGACGAGGAGAGCGAAAGGTGGCGCCTAAGGTTCTGCGCTCGGAGGGGCCTCAGGGACACCCTCCGGGTGGGGGCCGCGCCCGCCCCGGGAGAGCCGCGGGGAGTGCCCAGGAGACGCTGCGTCTCTGAGGTCGGCCTCGCTGGGCGGGTGGGGCCGAGGCTGCGGGGACCCGCCGCGGGGCCCTGACCGATAGCTACACTGAGGACCCGGGCTCGCGGGCGCCGCGCGGAGGCCCAGTCCGGCTGGTTTGTGATTTTTAGATTCAGTAACAATTATTATTATTTAAGAAGGAAAAGGTTCAGAGTCGCCATTCGAGGCTTATTTATATATATGTGTGTGCGCGTGTGGACACACATGTGTATGTCCGTATGTCTGTGTATATACATGGGCGCACACACTCACAGAGACATACATATATATATTTTGGGGGGTGTGGAGTTTGAAACGCTGCCTGTCTCGCTGCGGGAGGCGCTCCGTATCCTGTGTCTGGTGGAGAAGCTCCCGGCCTCCTGGTCCCTGGTTCATCCTGGAACATCCTCTCGGCCCACAGACAGGCCTGTGGGTGTCCTCCCGCCCCCCCCCTTGACACCCGCCGCCCCGCCGTGCTGGGGGAGGCCTGCCTGCGCCTTGGGGGGCAGCCGGCCCACTGGCGCTTAGGGCTCTCGCTGGGTCTGTCTCCCGGTCTCCGCGTTTGAAAGGCGTGGGAGGGAGACGTGGTCTGGAAGAGCCTCCAGCTGCTGCTCGTCCTGTCCGTCCTTGTCAACGGTTCCGGCAGCAGGCGTTCCCGAGGCTGCCCCTTGTTGAGAGCAGAGAGCTGGGCTGTTCTGGGCCGGCCCGAGTGGATCTGCAGGGGCCCCTCCCTGGAGAGCCGCGCGTGGCCTTGGGGGCTCCCCACCCCGCTGTCCGGGAGTCTTGCAGCAAGGCCCCTGCCTTGGGAGAAAATCTCGGTGAAATTCACCTTCCCCCTCCCCGTCTGGACCTGCACCCTGTGTTACCTCTGGTTTGGAGACCTCTCGTGCCACCTGGGTTCTGGCCCCCGAGGCGTGGGATGTGCTGGAACGGGGGATGGCATTTGTTAAGAGGCGCAAATCCAGCCTGGAAGTTTCCAGGCTTTCACCCCCACATTACCACTCTCCACTCCTGGTTTACATTTCTATTCCCTGGGCTGAAATGGAAATAAGCTAATTTCTATTGTTGTTTTTGGTGGTGGTGGCAGCAGGGAACTGAAGAGGGCGTTAGGCACTTGGCAGGGATTTAGTCCATGATTCTACCGTTTTCTGGACCCCGCGTGCTCCTGGCGAGGCTGAGGAGAGGTGGTTCCCGCAACTCAGGTCTGTCCTGGTCGTGCACTTGCCTTAAGCCCGTTCTGTCTCCCCCAGACCGTGACACCCTGTGCTTCTGTTTCCTGGGCGCCTTCGCCTCTGTCCTGCCTGGACCAAGTGGCTTCTCTTCAGTGTCACTTGGCAGCAGGCTGTCTGGGGTGCGTGGACGCCCCAGCTCCGGGACTCCTGCCGCGGAGCTGTCCTCGCAGCAGGCGGGAGCAGGGTGCCCCGGGCTCTGTCCTCGGGGTGCCCGACAACCTGCTCGGGGCTGCCCTGCTTGGGGCTGCCGAAACCCTGAGCTGCCGCCAGCACCCGGCAGGGCTGCCGACTCCTGCGCCCTGACTGTCCGACCGCCCTTCCTCAACCGCCGGCTTCTCGCAGTAGCCTCTTCCCTCCGGGAGCCAAAGAATGTGGTGTTCGAGCTGTGTCTGTGGCTGCTGTCTGTGCCTGTGCTGTGCCCTGAGGGGCTCCGAGCCTGACCTCGCGAGGCACCTGCCGAGAAAGGCGCCCTCTGCTGGGACCCGCCAGTGGAGCCAGATGGGGGCCCCCTGAACGCCCTCAGTGCCTCTGAGACCAGTGACTGCATCTCCCGGACAGCGGGAGGGCCGTGACGTCAGAGCTCCCAACAAGGACGTGTTGTTTGCACCTGACCCGAAGGGCCCGACGGCAGGCTCTGTGGACTCCGCCGTGGTCTCAGAGGACGCGCCCGAGCGTGAGAGGCAGGGCCGGCAGCCCCCCGGTCAGGGTCCTGGAGAAAGGCGGTGCCGCGGGCAGGGTGGACGGCTCCGAGCTGGGGGTGCCGCGCGTCTCCTGGGACCCGGATGCCATCATGCGTGTGAGTGCCACGCCACGGCGGCGGCCCTCTGGCCTCCTCAGCGCCCACGGGCGGCCAGTCTCTGCCCCAGGCCTGGCCGGCCCGCTTCTCACGGAGGAGCTCGTGCTGCGGCCCGGGTGCTGTCGGCCGCCCGGCGCGTGCCGCTTGCAGGTATTCTGGGGGGGTCGCTGGCGTCCGTGCAGCGCTGGCCCCGCCTGCCGTGAGCACAATGGTCTGACGGATTTTTGTAAAAAAAATAAAATAAAATAAATGGAGACTTTAACTCGAGCAGCTTGGAGGCCTCGTGTGATTTTCCTCTGCAGGGACTGAGCGAGGTGAGAGAGGGGGCCCGCCTGACCCCAACGCGCGGCCAGCGGGGTCCCTCCCGGCGGCTCTGAGGGCTGGTCACCTGGCGTGGCCACCTGGGCCTAAACCCGGCGGGGCCGGCCGTGCGTAACAGGGCGGCCGCCGGCGTCCATGCCGGGACTCGTCTTATGCAGAGGAGCCGGGGCGGGGGGGTCAGTGAGCTGCTGATGTGAGGCGGGTGAGAGGTGCGGGGCACACCCAGGCCAGCTGTGTCCGTGTGTGTGTGTGTGTGTCGATGTCTCCGAGGTGCAGAGGTGCTGGGAGGAGCGTGGCCCTGTGGTGGGCTCTTCCCACGACTCGGCCTCTCACGGCCTCCGTCACAGCCGGCGCTCCCCACCGCGCACCTGGTCTTGAGCCGGCCTGGGGGGGAGGGGTGCAGGGCTAGTGGGGCTGGAGCCCGGGACGGCTGAGCTGCCCCCGGTGGGGGTCTGGTGTGCACAGATGACCTCAAGTGCGTGGGACCTAAGGTCCGGTCGCTCCGAAAGCGGGGGTGGCAGGTGTTGGGGGGCTGTCGCGCAGAGGGGAGGGCTGACCCGGGCCTGGAGTTCGGTGCCGAGCTCTCCTCCGTCATTCTGGCAGAGTTTGTCCCGGGCCCGAGACCTGAGGAAGGGCCCTGGCTGGCCTAGACTGGCTTCTTCCTGGACACCCTGCTCTTCCCGTCAGTTCGGGCTCGGGCAGCCAAGGGGCCTGTGTCAGTGGCTGCTTCCCTGCTCCAAGGGGCGGCTGTGCTGCGTCCACACGGCCCGGCCCAGGACAGCGCTGTGCGGACCTGGGCCGACCGCCTGGCTTCAGATGCTCTTGGGCATCTGGGCGCTGGTCTCCTCCGCAGAATGATGGCCCTTGCCTGCATCGTAAAGACGGGTTCAAAGTTAAACAACACAGCGGCTGTGGGTGCTCCTGGGACGACACGCTGCCGGCTGCCTGGCGCTCCTCTGCCTCCCGTCCTGCACCTGCAGCGTTCAAGACTCGGAAGCGTGTCCCCTCCCTCTGCCCAGCCCCCAGCCCCGGACCTCACCTTGCTCCGTCCTGGTTACAGCTCTTCTAGAGTTTTACATGATGTTAAACAATTTTTACCTTTTTGTACAAGGGTTCTAGAACCAGCATCGTTTTTGAGGTTTGCCCAGTGTTGTCTATACCAGAAATTTGTCCTTTTTGTTGCTGCATAATATTCCCTCACGTGACTCACATCTCCATTCTGTTCATAGTCACTTGGGCTTTTGCTACTTTTTTGCTATTTTGAATAAAGCTGCTGTGACCATCCACGTGCAGGCCTCTTGGGCTGGTTTTTCTCCTGGGTAAATCCCTGGGCGCGGAATTGCTGTTTGAGAGGGTAAGTATATATGTGTTTAGTTCTACAAGAAAGTGCCAGACCTTTCTCCGAAGGGGTGGTGCCTTCCGTGCTCCCACCGGTAATTGTGTGAGTCCCTGTCTCAGTTCCTCAGCAGCCCGTTGCGTCAGTTTTAGTCACTCTGGGTCATGATGCCTCATAGTTTTGATTTGCGTTTCCCTCATGACTAGTAAATGAAGCACTTTTTCATGTAGCTGCATCATTTATACATATTTCCTTGAAATGATCTAGACAAATCTCTTACCTTTTTAAAAATTGGTTGATCTGAAGAGTGTACTACTTTTAAAAAAATACGTATTTTGCCCCTAAAATTGGATTTTTCAGGTATTTACATGTCTGGGTAGCCTTGGGTGATAGTTTCACTCCTCCGGGTGAGCGCGTGCGCCCCTCACCCTCCACCACACCTCGTGGTCCCTGCACCCTGGTCCCACCCTCCTCCGCTCCCCGCGCCCTCTGGTAGGCAGTGTGTTGTCCGTGTACGTTGCCAGAGTACGGAAGACAGCACATTCTGGATAGACTGTCTCGGGCGGGCAGTTGGGTCTTTATCGAACAGTTGGGCGTCAGCGTGTCAGACGCTGGCTACAGTGGGGCCCGTGCTGGCATCGCACCCGGGTGTGCCTTTCCGTTCACTCTGCTGAGTGTCCTGCGGGTTTGGACAAAAGTGTGACCATGTCCAGCCTCACCGCATTCTCCGGAAGAGTTTCGCCTCCCTCAGAATCCTCAGTGCTGCCCCCTCGCTGCCCCCCGCGGGCTCCGTGGCCTCGGCTTTCCAGCGCGCCGTGCAGCTGGGGGGTGGCACGTAGCGTGTTCGGGTGGCTGCTTTGACTTAGGGTCCTCGATCCTCTGCGGGGTGAGCTCCTTTCCTTTCACTGCCGAGGGATCCGCTCTCGCGCGGCGTCTTGCTGTCTGTCTGCGTCGCCGAGGAGAGCAGTTCCCCACCTGGACGCCGCTCCGTGGTCAAGGCCTTCGTCAGCGTCCCCTGGCTCGTGGCTTCTCTGTCTGCTCCTTACGTGGCTTCGGGTGGGCAGAGGCGCTTGATGTGGGTGCGGCCTTGTCAGTAACTTTCCTTGCTGCTCTCGGCGGCTCGGGAAACCTGCGTTCCCAGGCCACGGAGACACGTTCTCGCCTCCGTGACTTCGCTTCCACACTCGGAGCTTGACTCGACTCATCCGCATCTGCGCGGGGCATGTGGGGGCGGCCCCGTGCAGCTCTGCTCTGCGCCCGTGTCGGGGCCTCCGGCGCCGCGGTGGGCAAGGCAAGCCTGCCCTGCTCGGGGGTCGCCTCGGGGCCTTGTTGGAAGGGGAGTGAGCGGAGGGGGCCCTTCCAGCTCCGGGGTCCTGCTGATCCGTCCGTCCTAGCGCTGGCCCGGGCCGCCGGGGCATGGAGCCTTTGTCTGGGAAATGAAGGGGCGTCGGGATCTCTCTCCGGGTTGCTTTGGGTTTATGGGTTTATGTTCACCTCGTATTCAAGTTTTATAATTAGTTTTCCGATTTCTTTTTAACATCCTAGAGTTACAATTTTTATTCTGATGAAATGCATGTACCTTATAAAAGCCCATTTTACTCATGTTGCAGTGTAGTTTGTGGCCTTCAGTACCTCCACCGTGAGTGACTGTCACCCATCAGCTGTCTCCAGAACTTGCTCCATCACCCGGCAGTCCGTACCCGACACCCCATCCCCCTCCCCTCCAGCCTCGGGTCACCGCTGGCCTCTCCGTGTGCCCCGTTCTGGACGTTCGTGCGGGCCGGATCCCACACGGGGGGCCTGGTCTCTGGCTTTCTTCGCCCAGCGTGCCGCGTGCTCCCGAATGTGCTTCTTTTCATGACTGGACCGCGTCTTCCCTCCGCAGAGCCCTCTTGTTCCCGTCTGCCCGTCACGGACACCGGGGTTGCGCCCCGGGCTGGCCGCGTGATGCTGCTGCTGTCACTTCGGGGCGCACACGTCCAGTGGAGCCCTTGCTTTGAGTGCCTGTGTGTGTATCACATGCTGGATCATTCGGTGCCCCCATGTGAAACTTCTGATGAGCCACCACGCTGTTCCTCAGCAGCCGCCCCATTTCACAGCCCGCCGGCAGTGTGGGAGGGCGCAGCTCCTCCGCCTCCTGGCCAGTGCTTCATTTTTGAATTAGGACTTTCTGTGCTGGCCGGGACGGCCGGGCGCACGGGGCTGCCTCAGGGCGTGGACGCCGCTCGAGGCTGGCAGCGAGGCGCTTTTTCATCTGCTTAATGGCCGTTATGTAAGATACTCAAGACATTTCAGAGAGAGAGCGAGCTCTTCAGGCCCTTTGCCCATTTGAGAAACTGAGCAGTTTGGTTTGGCTGTTGTTATCCGCTGGGGTTTTGATGGCATTTTATTGAAACTGTGGATCAGCAGCTGGAGCTAATAGGTGAGCGTGTGTGTGTCTTTCCATTTACTCAGATCTTTTAGTTTCTACCAGCAGGGTTTTGAGGTTTTTAGTGTGGCGATCTTCCATAGCTTTTCAAGTGCGCTCCTGAGTAGTTTCTCACATATTACAAATGGAACTGCTGTTTCATAGAAGTTCACTTTGTAACTTATTGCTAGCACATGCAGTAGCCGGCTTGCTAACTTACTCTAGTTGCTTTGTAGATTTTGGACTTTGTGAACCATCTCATATTCTGTGCTGGAAATTTGCTCCTCTGTACTTGTGAGAAATTTGTGAGAAACTTGCATTTTGACTGTTATCCTGGTGGGCCCAAGTCATCAGAGCAAATGCAGAAGACAGTAGGTGCTTAATAAATGCTCACTGATGGTGGACGATTCCATCGGTGACTGGAAGAGACTAAAAGGTCATTGTTTTCAAAGCTTGCAAGCCCTATGGTTACTACATTATAGTCATAGAATCTAAAATTTAGCAAACTATTTTAGCTAATGTTTAGCAACCCCAAATTTATTGGATATCATGAGAATTCAAGCTGTTTCACAGTTGTCAGGAAGACTTGTGCGTGGACCTGTTACTGAGGTTTATCCTGGAGAAGAGTAGAGGACGAAGCTGGTCAGCACAGGAGTCATAAGCAGAGCTCAGTCTAGGAGAAACAGACATTCCCCCCGCGGACGAGGTGTGGCCGAACACCCGCCAGCCCCGCGGTCCTGACTGAAAACGTGTCAGTTTAATGTTTGTAAAATACCGTGTTTTTGCAGCTTTATTGAGACCCTGACCTACACCGTGTGAGTCTAAGGCACGCGTGACTCGAGACACAGGTATGTTGCGCAGCGATGACCACAGTGAGCCTGATGAACACCCTCGTCCTTTCACGTAATTATTTTTTTCTGGGGGTGGTGACTTCCGAGACGTGCTCTCGCTGGCCAGCACGTGTGCAGCAGCGCCGCCGCTCGTCACCGCGCTGCCTGCTCACTCGCCTTCCAGCTGTAAGCGTGTGTCCTTTGGCCAACATTTCCCCATTTCCCCCCAGTTCTGGCAACCGTCCTTCTCTTTCTTTGGGCGCGGGGCCTTCCGCGTGCAGGCATGAGCGCGCGGTTCTGGGCCTTCTGGCCGCGCAGAAAGCGCTGGCTGCCGTGGCAACTGTAGGCACTCGGCGTCCTTTGTCACCGGCCAGTCATCGTCTGTGTCACGTGACTGCAGGACTGCGTCCCCAGGCCAGGTCACCACCGCGCACATGTCCGAGGGGACTCGTAGCCTGTCACACGCGGGCTGCGTCGGGAGCACTGCGGTGACGTTAGACGGCCTGTCTTTCACACACACCCCCATGTCTTTGAACGTCCTTTCCTGACCTACACGCGGTTGTCTGCATGTCTGGCTGTTGTCAGCAGCGCGGCGGGAAGCGCAGGGTGCAGCTCTCCGAGACAGGACTCTCATTTCCTTCGGGGGCCCAGCCGTGAGAGCGCCTGCTGGCTCCTGCTCTTCTCCCTGGCGCTGCGCCCATTCGCTTCCCGGCAGCGGGGCGCGTCCCGAACCCAGCGCGCGCCGTCCGGCTCGGTCCGCCAGGTGCGAGGGGCCGCGTTGTCAGGGTTACGTTTCCCTAGTGATTCGTGCCGCAGCGTTCTGTGGGCCTCTCGGTCATTTGCCGTCTTTCGAAAAAGGCTCATTCCAGTTCTTTATCCGTTTACATGAGATTTTTTTTGTTTGATGGTGACTTTTGGTGATGGTTTTGCTGTGCAGATATTATTTAGTTCAAGATAGTCTTGCATTTTTGCTTTCGTTGCTTACGCTTTTGGTGTTAGAGCCAAACACCAGTGACCGATGTCGGGGCGCTTCCCTGCCCCCCCTGGGCTTGCGGCTTCAGGTCTTCCAGGGACGTCGTCATTCCAGGTGGCCCGCGCGGTGGAAGACGTGGGTCTAATTCCGCTGTTTGCACGTGGTCACCGCTTTCCTGACACCGTTTGTTGAAGACTGTCCTTTCCTCGTGGAGACTTCCTGGTTCCTCTGTCACGTATGACTTGACCGCAGGGTGTGTCTGTGTTCCTGCGCCCTCTGTCCGTCCCGCGGGCCTGTGTCTGTACCGAGGGTGAGTTACCACAGCTTGGTAATGACGGTTTAAGTTGGGAATGATGATGCCTCCAGCTTGTTCTCAGGCTTGCTTAGGCTGTTCGGAATCTTTCGTGATTCCATACAAACTTCAGGACTATTTTTCTGTGAAAAACGCCACTGGAATTTTGACGGCGATTGCTTGGACTCTGCAGGTGGTATGTGCTGCCTCAGGGTGTGACTAAACCTACCAGGGGCTGCCCGGGGCAGCGGAGACCGTGGTGTTGGGTCTTTGGACAACACACCCGATGGATGCTGCCTCTGGCAAGTGAGACATTCTGGCTCAGCGACCTCTAGGACTCAGCGGTTTCCTCTGTAGTTGCAGTCGGTTCTTTCTCCCTTATTCTCAAGTCAAGGCGCACTGCAGCGGGCTTGAGGACGTCAGGTGCTCTCAACCGTCCACGGCGTGGAGGAGGACACAGGCACACGCCTCAGGGCTGCGGAGAACCTCTGCTCGGCCTCAGAAGAAGTCTCCCCTCCCCTCCAGCTTGGAGGCTTCTTTACTCCTTTCTGTGGCTATTCGCTGTCGTTGAGACGCCAACTCCTGCCTTACCGGACAACCGTGAGGGCCCAGGGCTGCAGGTTCTCTGGGGATCAAGGCGGAGTTGGCCCAGGAGGCCAGGCTGCTGCCTGATCTGCCTCACATCAGCTGTGACCTGGGAAACATGTGCCCGAGACGCAGGGGCAGCACTTTCGGGGCACCACCTCTCGCCGGCGGGCCTGCCGGGATCAGTTTGCAGCTCGCTCAACACAGCCTGCGCCGTGAGGGAACATCCGGGACGAGCCACGGCCAGCAAGTGGAGCCTGCCCTGAAGGTCGGGCCGGTCTAGTCGGCCGTGTGTGTTTTCCACAGACATGCAGCCCACAGGTAAACATCTCTGTGGAATTTAAGAACACGTCTGCTGTACAGACGGCGCTGGGGCTGCGTGGGGTGGGCTCACGCCATCTAAAACCCGCTGAGGTGTTTCTGAAGTTGATGCCGGCCTGTTCCTAAGTCAGTGTGTCAACTGTGGGTTCAACAGAACGCGGATGTCTATAAAAAAATAAGTTTTATTAACAAAATGGGCTCGCAATATAAAATACAGAGAGATGAGATCACGTTACTAATTAGGGGGCGTCTACTGGGTACAGCAGTGCAGTAAGTGACACGAAACCAAAGACGAGGTCCCTGCCCCGGGAGTGCGAATCCACGAACGTGAAACAGGCCGCCGGAGCCGGTCGCGCCACCTCCCTTCAGCCGTTGCTCAGAAAGCGCTTCCGTGACCGACAGGCGAGTCCTTGGCTCGAGAAGGAACCGGGAAGCGTCTGTCCTGCCTGCAGCGGTGCTGGGAGCGCAGGCCCGGGGCGCTGGGCCTGCCCCATGAGGTCCTCGCACGCCCCCCAGCCCCCCAACCAGGGGCCCAAGAGGCTGCCCTTCCTTGGCTGGCCGGCCCCACGGGTGGCTGCAGGAGGGGCGCCGAGGTGCCGCCTAGAACTTCTGCAGGAACTTGAGGACGAGGTCCCGCAGGCGCACCCTGAGCGTCTCGTCGTTGTCGCAGATGATGTGGGTGGAGTCCTCCTCCAGCTGGATCAGCGTCTCGGCTTCCTGGAGCAGCACGATGTGGCCCTTGGCGGTGTCTTCCACCTTAATGTCGCTGAAGCCGTGCTGTGGCAGGAGAAAGGAGGCGGCGGTCAGCGAACGCGCGCTCTAACAATGACCCTGCCTAGACTCAGCTAAACTGAACATTCTAGAAACGGGCGTCTTTTCCTCCGTCTGATTTTCCAGACCATTCACAGGACCTACCACAGCAGCAGAATTTAACCAGTTCCGTACACTTCTAAAGACGCCCCAACCTGCACAACCTCGTGAGGAGCCAGCGTTCCCACCTCCAGCTCATGCCCGGGGCAGCCCGGGCCACGCAGGCCCTCTCGAGGAGGGGGAGCTGGGGCGGCACAGCACAGCCTCCTTCAGCGTTCTCGGCCGCGCTTCTGAACACGTCAGCTGTGCGGAGAAGCGGAATTAGGCTCATCTGCCTGACAGAGGAAGGATGTGGCCCCGGTGGCTGCGCTCAGCTCTAGGCGGGCGCGTGGTGTGGGCAGCGAGGCAGGAGTGCCCGGCATCCCCTGGGTGAGTTCCCGGATGGGCCAGGCGGGGGCTGCGGAAGGCTCTTCCCGGGAAGGGAAGCCATTTCAAGTCTGAGTCCTGTCGACAGGAGCGGAGCAGCGCAAGGCCGGGGACGAGCCCCCCTCACCTGCCGGCCGCGAGGATTCCCAGAGCAGCCCTCGAGTGCAGGGCACAGCAGCTGAGGCCCAGCCTTTGGAAAATCAAACGACCCGTGGAGAAGACACGCCCCACCGAGAGAAGCCGTTCAGATTTGAAAGAATTCAGCCGCTGAGACATGTCAGCTGGACAAAAGGCGGCGACTAGCAGCTGACAGGAGAAAACCACCTTTCCTCAGCTGAGTTCAAAACCGCAGCTGAAGGCTGGGGTCAGCTCCTCCTCCTGTGACGCTGATTCTACACAGTGGCTCTCGAGTCCTGGAACTGAAGCCAAATTCCTGACACTCCGGGCAGGCAGCCGTGGCGCTGGAAGGACGTGGCCTCTCTCCCTGCACCCGCCTGGATGCCGGGCCCTTCCCCCCCCTCCCGGGATCCTGTCCTGACTCTGCGGCAGGCCAGGCTGCCCTGACAGAAGAGGTAGGCCCCGGGGGCGCCCCTCCTCGCCTTCGTCACCCCTCCTGCCCGCTGCGTGCCTGGCAGAAAGGCGTTCCCTGGCTTGGGTGGCAGCGCTGGGCAGGCGCCCTGCTTCTGTCCTTCACCCCAGCCTGGGCCACACCGACGCTGCAGGGGCAGCAGCTGCCATGGGGCGGGGGCTTGCGGCGGGGGTCGCCTCACCTTCTCCAGGGTCTGCACGAACTGGCCCACGGGGATGGAGCCGCTCAGCAGGGGCTTCAGGGCTTTGCAGTCGGGGATGTCGTCGCTCGCCCGCTTCCGCTTCTTCCCGCTGGTGGGCTGGGCCGGCCTCGGTGGGGGCTGCGGGCGGGAATCACCAGGAGCCACGTCAGGCGCTGCCCTAGGCCCCGGGTGCCTCCACCCTGCCTGTGGGGCCCTCCCCGCTCAGAGGCCCAGGGCGGCCCCAAGTCGCCAGTGGGGCCCAGGGCATAGGCACTTGGTTCAGGGTCTCGGTTGGGGCTCCCTCTGGAGCGCCCCGTCCCCACAAGCTACCGCCAACTAGGCGCCAGGGCCCACCACTCAATGGGCTGAGCCGTCTTCCTGCCAAGACCCCACCCAGGACTTCGTGGCACTCGCAGCAGACAGCGGCACGGCTGAGCCCTCCTGGCCTGGGAACCTTGGCAAGAGGCGGAGGGTCAGCCGGCTTGGCCGTAAGTGTCGATGCGGGAAGACCTCGGCGAGGACACGCGGCCATCACCTGCGTGTAGCTCGGGGCTCAGGAGCAACAGCCCCGGACCAGAGACCACCCTGCTTAGCCACGGGAAGGCTGCTGGGAAGCGAGGTGTGTGCTGGGTACCAAGTCCCCGGCCTCCTCTGCCCTTTGTAAGCCTCCCAGGACCGGGCCCAGTGCCTTGTGGGGCTTGTGGAGAGCACCCCGCAAAGGCGGGTGCAGTGATGGCCATCTATGGGGCGCTGATGTTGGGGGATGTGTGCAGCGCAGGGGGTGCAACCCCCTCCCTCCTCCCCCCAGGCAGGCGCTGGCCCTCGCAGGAGGCGCTTGGGCGCTGAGTCCTGTTTCTGTGATGCCGGCTTGGGAGCCTGGGGGCCGGGTGGAAAGTAGGACCTTTCTGGTGGGGTGCGGTGGGGGGGGGGGGGTGGTCCCCTGGCTCCAGGTACCTGCAGGACGTGCTTGTTATCCTTAGTCTGCAGCACAGCCGAAACGGTTGCCAGGGAAATGCCAGGCTTGATCTCCATGGGCACCAGGGAATCTGCGAGCTGAAGCAAACGGGTTTCAGTCAGGCCTGTGCCAGGTGAGGGGAGAGGGCGCCCCATGCCCTTCACGGAGGCGGGGCCTGAGCAGTGGCGGAGCCCCTCACCTCACCATGCATTTCCCAGGCAGGACGGGACACCCGAGCTACAGCTCCAGGCTGTCCTGGTAGAGGATGGACATCCGCCCGTGCGGGGAGAGTGGTCAGCAGGACCACGTGACCCGGCGCGAGCGCAGGTCGGAGGAGGGCGGGCGAGCGACGTGGGCACCGAGTGAGACATGTAGGTGAGGACAGCGGACGAACCCCCCAGCCTCTGTCATGTGCCGTCCCTGGCCACAGACTACCGGTAAAATCCAGAAAAATTTCCAGTGTATTTGAAAAACAGGCCTAGAAAAGTGTTGACGGGATGGTGTGGAGGCCTGGGCAGCAGCCCCAAGCCAGAGTGCAGGGCACCGTCCGAGGAGACAGCCTCGGGGCTGAGCTGCTTGCCGGGCGGACAGCGGCTGTCCCGGGCCAGGCCCCGCGGGCCTCAGGCCGGCTCCGACACCGAGGGTGGGGCCGGGGTGCCTTCCTTGCTGGGGGAGGAGGAAGAAGTAGGGCGCCAGGGTCTGCCCAGTGCCACGGGGATAAACCACCTGCAGCGAAGAGCAGACGCAGGGCCTGCCGTCACCCCACCAGGCCCACCTCGCGACAGGGACAGGTGTCGCGCTGGCCGCCTCCACCCAACGGTGCAGACATCCCTTGGAAGGAAAAGCAGAGAGGTGGATTCATGCGGGATCGCTGAGTTCTGTCTAGGAAGTTCCCCTTTCCCCGAGATAACCACTTTTCATCAATCATTACCTAACAAATGTTAGGATTTTCCATCTTCGTGAAGGGGGCGACCTCGGAAGGCTTGAATTTAAGTGCGATGAGTCATTTCTGCCACAAAATGTCCATTTTGGAGGCAAAAGAAATCACTGCGAGTTGAGACTCACTCCACTAATAAGACACGTAACGTACAACCAGGTGGCAGCACCTGCTTATATAACCGAAAAGACTCGCAGCAAATTGAGGTGGGAACAGCGGGGCTGAGCAGGTGACCTTCCCGCCCGCTAGAGCAGGCCCCGGGCGCGCCACCTGGGGCGGGTACGCGGCCTGGCGGGGAAAGCCGACCTCAGAACGCTTCCTGAGGAAACTCGGAGGTGGGGAGAAGCTCCTGACGGCGCCCCGTCATCAGAAGCAGCAGAGACGGATGACAGACCTGCCTCCAGCCTTTACGGCTGACGCCGCCGCGGGGCCTCCCGGCGTGACTGACTGTCACGTGACAAGGGCAGCGCCTGGCGGGCGGCGCAGCTCCCTCCCGGGGAAGAGACGGGCTAACGGAATCCAGTGGTGTCGGGACAAGACTGGATTGTGTTTTTTCTTTATCCCTTTTTGTTTTCCCAATTTTCTAGAATGGATAAGCACAGCTTTGTTGGAAAAAAGGGAATAAAAAATAAAAGCAGAGACCCAGGGTCTTAATCACAGGGTCTTGGGTGCTGAGCCTGGGGCCCGGGCCGGGCGCCCTGGCAGGGCTCGGAGGTCCCTATCACGACCCTGCGTCTTCTGCCCGTCGCGTCATTCTCCCCCGAGCGCTCCCTGGAGTCTCTAGAGGCTCCGGACGTGTCACCACGGCAGAGAGAAGCCAGAGGGGTGAGCCCGCGGGGAGGAGGGCCGCCCGCGTTCACGGGACAGCAGGGGCGGCACCCAGGCCAGCCCCTCCCTGGCTCCGCAGCAGATCTGAGCAGGTGCCCATGTGGGGAGATTCACAGCCGCCCTGGCCTGTCCACCAGGAGACCACCTGGGTCCAGCGGGCGGGAAAGCCTCACCTCTGGCGTGATTTCAATCTTCTCGTAGCGACGCTTGAAGGGCAGGGCGAGGACCTCGGCCCGCCGGTAGGACATGGGGGGCGGCTGGCAGTCGATCATCAGGTCCATCCTGTGTGACTGCGCGGGGGGCGGCTGCGTGTACTGCTCAGGACAGACCACGTGGAGGGGCTGCAGAGGGGTGCAGTGGCCGTGAGGGTGGGCACCTGGCACCCATCCTCTGCCTGCACGTCATGGTCCCCGGTGGGAGCAGCCCCCAGGGTCGGGGGGGTGGGCGGGGCGGCCAGCGGTGCCGCTTCTGTTTCCTCCCTGTGTTTAGGGCCCCTCATGGCGCTTCCCTGGCCCACTCCCACCTGGCCTCAGCCCCAGGCACGCGCCATCCTTGGCTGGCACCAGGGAACGGGGCTGCCCACCCGCATGGCATCTGTGCGGCACCAGGCAGTGGCTTTGGCCAGGCCACAGAACCCACCGTGTGGGACGGGGGTCAGGGAGGACTCTGCATGAGTGTCCCAGCCCTTGGGGGTGACGGGAAGTGAGCACAAGAAATGTGCTGGATGCGCCCCACCCGGCACAAGTGGGCGGCACCATGGCGGGCACGGGGCCTCCTCACCTGCACTTCTTTCAGCAGCTTGGAGACCTGGATGAAATTCAGCCGCGTGTCGATGGGGCAGTAGATGCACTTCATGGCCAAGGGCTGGTAGGGAGCCAGGGCTTCCAGGTACGAGAAGTCGGGTTCTGAGGAGAGCACCAGGGAAGACTGTTCAACTGTGGGCAAGAGGCCAGCAGCGGGTCCCCGTCCCCCCACCCCAGACGCCTGCCTCGGGCCGTCTCCGAAGTAGCTCTTGGCACTCAGTGGCGGGCGGGCGGGAGGCTTGCCCGGGGCTGCCTGTGCGGTGGCACATCAGACGGGACGGTGCTCACATTCGTGCCTTCCTGGAAAACCCTGCCCCACAGGTGCGTTCTGCGAGGAGGGCACTTTCCGTACCTGTGAATATGACGGTGTTGAGACTAGACTTGCCCCAGAGCTCCATGAAGTGCACCACGTCCCCGAAGCGGAGGGAAGGGTGCCCGGTGAACACCACGCACGGCTGCCGGAAGTCGTTGCTGAAGTCCCCGTGGATACTGGGGTAGTGCTTCAGCTTGTTGGTCTGAATGAGCTGGAACACACGGGCGAGCACACCTCAGCCGCCCGCCCCCCCGCCGGGGGAGAGAGGGCCCCAGTGGGAGGCTGAGCGGAGCAAAGGCACAGACGCATCTTACAGGAATGTTCTACCTGCGTGTGCCCTGAGCAGATGGGGCCTTGTGGTGATGCCAACACACTTAACTCGGGTCACGCCGGCTGATTTACTCTACCTGCCTCCCACAGCCGCTGAACCAGAGCCTCAGACGTCCTCGGTATCCCTTAGTGTTTGACGCACCCGCCTCGCACCTGTCTCTACAGCGTCTGTTTTGAGCCAAAATGTCTCCCCCTTCCTGGGCCTCCCTGATGGCACAGGCGGTTGAGCACAGCGCTGTGAAGCTGTCCGCAGCCTCTGCAGTGCCAGTTCAATCCCCGCCGACCTTGGAGTAACCCACATGGCGCAGCAGACCTCTCCTGACTCGCCCGCTGCTCCCCTCAGCAGTGTACTTCGTCAGTCTGCCTGTTCTGTTCCCCGCTCTGGCTCTGGTGAATCCTCTCACCCTCCCGCGCATCCGGCCTGTACCCTGGTTCTTGTATAAATAAAACAATTTTTTTAAAAAAAAGTCTCCCCCTTCCGGCACCACCTGGGCGCTACTCCCCTGCATCAGGTCCTACAGAACCTCCAGCCAGCCCCTGTGCCATTGCTCCGGCACTGCCCCCAGTCAGAGCCTGCAGGCCAAGGGCCCTGCCCCAAGATGCTGCTTGAGGGGTCGCCAGCCAAGAACTCCAAGTCCAAGCGGAGTCGCCCAGGGGTGAGGATGTGCCACGCACGGGCCGAGCCCCCATGAGATGCCAGCCTCGCTTCCCCGGGAGACCATCTTTAGGTCACCAGCAGGAGGCCAGAATGCCCCGAGGGCTCCGGGACAGCGGGTGGGAAAGCCGAGCCCGCCGAGCCCACAGGTATTCCCATGCCCCACCCCCACGTTAAACACAAAACCCACGTTCCTTTTATGGTCTGTGTGGCCAGCTCGTTAGGTGGTCAACATCACCGACCGGGAAGCAGACGTAAATGAACCTGCTTTGCCAAAAAGTCGGCACCAGTCCGAGCACCGCTCCTCGCCAGGGAGGCCGGGGCGCTCGGCTGGTGACGGCGTGTCGACGGAGCGTCCCCGCGGACCTTGGCCGGGAGCAAAGGCTTGTGTCTCATCTGCTGCCGGCTCCCCCGGCCACGCGCCTTTACCCGCACATCCCTCGCTCTAACCCAAGGCCGCGGCGTCTTACCTCTGCGTGAGGAAAGGGCGGTTCTGGGAGATACACCTTGCTCTGCTTGTTGTGACACAGCCTTTGAAAGAGAAACACACTGCACGTTAGGGGGCCCTGGTGCAGCGCAGACACACACCGCTCAAGGCAGCGGATTAACAACCGTTTCCTGCGGGCGACTTGCTGCACAGAAGGGGCCTACGGTGCCACAGCGCCGGCGGGGGTGCCCCACTTCCAGAGCAGGACGACGACGGAAGCCAGCGTTCCTCAGTAAAAAACTTAGAGAGAGCAGCTTCCACACAGAATTCAGAGCAGAATCCCTTGGGAGCACTTTTTTAACCTTGAAAATTCCTCAGTTTTTTCCCTTCAAAGTCCCACGCCTCAGCCCCGCCTGCCCGCTGTGCCATCCGTGAGAGCCGCAGCGGTTAAACTAAAACAGACACGTGACGTACAGGTGACGACCAGCGCAGCCAAACAGGGCTCAAATCCGAGCACTCAGCACGGCCACGATGGCAGAAGAAAAAACCCACCAGAACGTGGCCAGCAGGAGCGGGGTCTTGGGTTCAGGCTTTTACCCTTTCCCGTAAACTTTTTCCCGCGGTGACCGCGCAGGACAGAAATACAGCAGCAGCCAAAACACACAGACAAACCGCCACACAAGAAGGACCTACTGGTCCTGCGTCCTCCCCGCCAGGAGGCCGCCAGCAGGGAAATCGCGTCCCAGGGCCGGGCCGCACGCAGGCGCCCAGGAACCTGCTTTGTCAGGCTTTACTGAGGCTCTGCCCGGGAACTCGGAGTGCGCTGCTCACATGGTGGGGGTGGGGGGGAGTCCTCTCCTGGGTCAGAGGAGCAGACTGTGGGGGGGGGGGGGGTCAAGCGTAAAGGGCCAGTGGAGTGAGCAGCTTTCTGCTGTGAGCCGCTACGCCTGAGTGGATGATATAAAGGGCCTCGGGAGCCCCCGAGAGAACACGGGGGTGCGCCGGAGGGAAGCCGCCTGCCCTGAAGTGCGCCCCTCCCAGTGAGGGGGGGCCGGGTCCTTGGGGGAGCAGCACAGCTCTGGGGCACACCTAAGTCCTCTTGGGCTCCTGGAGTCGTGGCTTTAGGGGAGATGACGTGATGAGGTCGGCCCCGAGCAAGTCTAGCTCGGCCGGGACTGTCCTTCCTTGCTGACGTGATCCTGGAACCATGTTTGGGAGAACCTGTTGTGCGTTGCGACAGGATGACGTACAAACTCCTTTTTTAGGTAGAGACTTAGAAGGCAGCATCCAGCAGCCACCACACGCTGATGGGGCCACACAACAGAGCCTGTCACCACCGAGACAGCCGGACGTGCCACCCGAAGGCAAGCAGGTTACGAGTGCACGTGAACACCTTAGAATGGCACCCGGCTTCTTACTGGCCCACATTCTACCCACCCTAGTATGTGATCAATAGCTATACTTGTCAAATATCATGCTACTGAAGTGAAAAATAATCTAGCTTCTCTTATCAGATTTGGTATCAAATTTCAGGCAACACAAGCTTGGTTGAGGTGACTTGTGGGTGTAGCTCCGCTTCGCAACAGCAGGGGGCAGCAAGTCAGTGAGAAGCCTGTGACACTTTCCTCTAGGTTTGGAAAGTGACCCCCCAGGCTTCGGGGCCTTCCTGCCTCCCCTCCTAGGCCACTACTCTCAAGCCAGGCTTTCGGGAATACAGTCTTCCCCTCACAGTCACAGAAAAACAACCTGAAGGTTTCACAGTGCCGTGAGGAAAGGCAGGTGATTCCTGTTCTCACTGCCAGAACGTCGAGTCAAAGGAGCGCACGCAGGACGCAGACCTACCACTCAGCAAAAATCTGGGAAAACTCCAGCGAACTGTTGGCCACGGGGGAGATGAAGTAGAAGGGGATGTTGGAGAGGCCGGCTGAGTCAATGTACTGATACAGGCATTCCAGGAGGTCATAGATCACTCCAGAAGGGTAGCAGGGAACCAACACGTTTCCTCCGTTCCGGACTGTCAGCGCTAGAGTTGAGGCCAGAGGGAAAACAAGTCTCAAAACAGCAGTTTTATAAAAGGAGCAGCACTTTGGGAGGAATATGTGCTCTTCAGTCCCTCCATCCATCACTTCCCAGGCAGAACAGTCTGCAGACACCGAGCACCAGAGGCCTCCGTCCTGGGCGAGGGTGCCCTGGGCACTAAAGCCGCCCATGGCAGCAAGCTCAGGACAGGACCGAGCGCCCCCTTTTTTGGGCTCCTGCTAAACCTCTGCAGGATTTGTCTGGGCCTCTGACCATTGCTGCATGAACTAGGAGCAAACAGGCTAAGTTTTCTGTTTGCCTCACTTTACAGGCATTTTTTTTTCCCACTAATGTATTTATTATCTATAATAAAATCCTCCATATTTGGTAAGTTATCAAATGAGGAATCGCAACACATGGTTGGCAATAAACTGGATAGAAAAAAATCCAAGCGTCCTCTGAAGTTTGAAGGGGCAAAAGCACCTGAGAGGTGAGTTGTCACGAACCTGCGTGGGGTGTGGCCCGGTGGGCTGAGGCGCACTTACCCAGGTTGCTGCAGAAGTCCCCCACCATGCCGTCTGGGTTTGCAGTGGGGGTCTGGGTGAGGCCCGTGAGGAGGAGAACGTCGCTGTTTTTGAGAGAAGCTTGGTCCATGGGCTGCAAGCCAGAGAACTGTGCTTAGTACCCCACAAAGGCTGACGGTCTACAGATGGCCGAGAAAGCCCAGCGCGGCGCTCTCCTGTGTCCACGCGTCATCTGGCCCTCCCTCCCCATGTGAAGTCCACCACGGAACAGGGCTTGTCGGGATGGGGACCGACTGGGGGAGGCACGGGGGAGCGGAACGGGGTGAGGAAAGTTTGGTCAAAGACCGCACCCGGGCACGAGAACTACAGGAGAGCGCGTGAGCACAGCTGCTGGCTCTCCCAGGACCTGCGCCGAGAGACCACCCAGCTGTTGGGGCACCTGACAGAGCCGAGAAACAAAGGGACTGAGATCAATTCCTGGGGAAACCGGGCCTGGAGTGGGGACAAGATGGCGAGCAAGAGCCAAAGAAGGCAGGCACCATGGAAGAGCAGAGGTGAAGACTCCCGGGGCCACCCGAGTGTGGAGGACAGAAAAAGGCCCGGGAGTCAGAACGTGCATTTAAAAGGCCTGGGAAAACATAAGGGGGGCATTGAAAGGAGCAAGTGTAAACATCTGGAAATACTGTGTAGGGAAATACAAAAGAAAATGATGAAGGGTTTCTCTGTTAAAGGAAATTAGATCTTCGTACAGATTATACAACAGACAAGAAAAAGGCACACGTAAGACACAGCACAGTAAATGCGAGAGCGCAGAAGGCCCCGTGGAGGCGACAGGCAGCTCTCAGAGAGGAAGGCAAGTCCGAATGGCGTCACACTTCTCACCTACAACGAGGGCACAGGTGGGAAATGAAATAAAACTCTCAAAGCTTTACAGGTTCAAGTTCTTTTCCTTTAATTTTATATCCATCCTACTTGTCATTTAAGTTTGAGGAAAAATTAAAAATATTCTTATTAATTCAAGACCTCACAAGGGTGGTCACTCTAAGACCCTCTGGTGACTATTCCTCAAGTGTGCCAGAGAGATGCTGATTTAATGTGGGGGGTTACGAGACACACGGGAGGTTGGAAAAGGAACCACAGTCAAGTTCACTGCTGTCCTGACAAGCAATACATTCCACAGTTCGTGCAGATTCTGAATGACCCGGTACTAAAATTCTGGGCTGTATCAACAGGGTGGGCGGGAGCAGGGGAGAGGCGGGGAGAAGGTGGAGACACAAAAGAAGGGGTGGGGGAAAGAGACAGATCCTGACTAGCTGAAGACAGTTATGGGAAAAATAAGCTAAGAACAACCCAGAACAACAAAAATGAAATATGTGTCTTCAAACTTACAGGCAGAAACGTAGTCTTCTAAAGGAAGGCAAGGAAGGATGAAGTAAACTGAAAATATGAACTAAGATGGCAAAAATAAGCCAAATACAATACTAAGTATCAATAGCCTGACCGATCCGGACTTCCCAGACAAAAAAGTCAAAGCCATAAGGGGATTCACGAGAGAAGTTTCAGAAAGCACGGAAGGGGGTGGAAATAACCGTCGGCCACTGTGAGGGGCCCGTCTCTTGGCTCTGAAGTTTGATCGAGGGAAAAGCCAGCATCACACCAGCTCGAGGAAGGGAGTGAGCGACCAACAGGCCACAATCACCGTAACATTAGCCTCTCAGGGTAATCATCCTGCTAGTCCTGGATACGTGTTACCTGATTACAATTTATTCTCTCAAAAAACCCTCTTCTAATCCGTTGATCAGGATTTTAGTGAAGTTTATAATCTGTAGTCACACGCGGAAAATGGAACCATACGTATTTTCTGGAACTCTCCAACTTTGGAAAATACGTTCTCTCATAAGATGATCCTAACTTATTTCTCTAACTTCAGAAATAAACTAGATAAAGGTTACCTTTTCTTGGAGTTCAAATTCCCCATACAGCTACCATTTTATTCTTTCTTATGTGGCTGAACTGTATGTTTTGGTTCAAATCGTGAGACCTGAAGGAGAACTCGCAGGGCTGCTGAGCCCCCGCGCGCTCCCCTTCCAGTCCGGACGCCGCTCTGGGTTTCTGGCAGCGACTCTCCCTGGAGCCTCTTCTCGCGCTCCCGCCCTCCTCATCAGGGCGGTCTTCCTTCTGCCCGCTGTGTGCAGAAGGTGTCCAGGGCTGAGCTCTCGCCCTCAGCTCCTTATTTGGATACTTCACAGCCCGTGACGCCCTGTGGCTTGCTCCACACCCCGCCCCACAGCCCCGGGCCCCGCCAGCTCCTTGTCAACTGCTCGGCGTCAGCATGGCCACTCGCAGTGTCACCATGTGACATCCTGTGTCCTTCTCTGGAGACACAGGCGCCCCAATGAATGTTGAGTTAAAGACCTGCGTTTCAACTCGCCTCTCCAGTGTCCCCCCCTCCGGTTTACGCTGAAGCCCCGCACGCTGACTGGAGCTCACGGCTGAGTGGAGTTTGCTGCTCTGTTCTTCCTGGAGGATGAGGTTCCCATCAAGTAGGTCAGGGACTGGCCTTTGCTGTGAAGCTCTAACTGCTGCGGTAGCGCGGAAGCTGCCATAAGCAGTCCACAGACAAGTGGGCGTCGATGCAGCCCCTCAAAACATTATTTATACAAACCCAGGCGGGGGAGATTTGGCCCACAGCCCGTGGTTTGCTGACCCCCATAGGGGACTAGCAAGTTTAAACCAAAACTTTCCTCACCCCTGCTAATTCCACAGAGAATCCAATTATCTGGGTAAAGGAAAATTTATTTTCTTTTTTTTTTTAGATATAACACTGATTGCCAACTAGAAATTAAAATTACGTAGGTATGTTGCTCATTACTTTCAAGACCTTATTTTCCCTTTAAATTTATGGGCCTTGCTGGGATAATTTACTGGAAATTACATCAATAGTACTGGAAAGGCTTTGATCTCAGCAGGGCAAATCGGAAGAGTTGGCAGCCAAGTAATCTTTGTCTTTTATGGAAGAATATATCAGGAATGATAGAAGCTGCCAATAAAAAATTTGATTCAATGAGGCAAATTAAGATGACATTGATGGGCTTTTGATTTCAATAAGCGGGAAGGGCCCAGAATTCTGCTAGCTACAGGAAAAAATAGCAGCTTGTCCCCTCTAGACTGGAGGTGAAACCTGATTACAAAGACGGCACGAACACCACGGCGGACAGGCAGCTCCCGGCAGCCTCCGCCTGGACTCCCGGCAGCCACTTTCCCCACATTAACACAGACCGGCGACTCCCCGAGTTAGGTCGCCATACACAGCCGCCCGCGGGCTACCTGCCTGCTCCTCCCTGCCCTCTGCCCCCTGGCAAACGTGGACCGGGATTTATGAAGTAAACGATAAATTCTTTGAAAACGCAAAAACTGGAATAAACACACCTTTAACAAACTTAACGGTGGTAGCTGCTCTCTACATATTAATATAAAATTTGGATTTCTCATCGCGGTCTCTGAACTCCTACCTGCCCCAGGCCCTGCTTGCTTGGGCGCCGTATCGCCGTGGCTTCAGGCCACGTGTCCCTGCAGCTCTGCCCGCGCAGCTTCCAGGGCTCATTCCTTCAGTCCCAGTTCCAATGCGTCTCCCCCAGAAGCTTCCCAATTTAATTTTTTCTCCTAATATATTCTGTCCAATTTAAACTAGTGTCTATCATAGTCTCCATCAGGCTGCTTAGTGGTCTTCCGTACGTGCGTCACGATCTAAAATCACCTCGCCCGTTGCTGTTTTCTGTACACATCTCGTCACACAGCAACGGGATGTGGGCGGGATGGGCGAGCACAGGCCTCTGTCTTCCCCCGTGCACAGCGCAGGGGCTTGGCCTGTGGGTCACCAGTGACTCCTGCTTGACACACAGCAGGTGCTCACTGTATCAGTCAGCAGTCACTGATAGACAAGCTGCCCCCTCTGCTCTGCAGCAGGCTGTGCTTTTCGGGAGTGGGGGGAACCAGGGGACCCAACCTTCCAGAGGGACTTGCAATCCTAGATGTGGGGACAGAGACAAGCTTCCTCTGGCGACGCGGGGAGAACGTGAAGTCCCAGTAGAGACTGCGTTGCGACACTGTAGCCGCAGCCTCAGACCGGCACTGCAGGGCGGGAGCCACCTTAAGGGCAGTCTCGGGTTAAGTGATCGCACCACAATAACGTAAATGTGAAAAAAAAAAAGTCTCTACAAACCCAAACTAGGGAGATTTAAAAGCGGGTGATGGCACTCTGGGGACGTTCTGATTTTGGGTTAAATGACCAAAAGCCGAATGGCCGAGAGTCCAGAATTACCTGGGGGTGCGTGGTGAGCAAGGAGGAACCAGAGACGTAGGACACTTTCTCATAATGGGACTGGATGGTCCAGTTGGAGCTCCCGAGGGCGTAGCCGGAGCTCAGAGGAGTCACCTGGACGGCACCGAAAAGCTCCTGGGAAGCACAGTGAGAACAAGTGAGTCTCGGCGACGCAGGCGCACCAGAAAGTTTGCAGCAAAAAGCGGAAATAGCCTCTGCTTGGAAACAGGAGTTACTGTAAAACACGCCAAAAGTTTATGGTGCAAAGGAAACGCTGGAGACCAGGAGGCCGGCGCAGGAAGCAGCCCACAATGTTTACGTTACGTTACCCCCGAGGGTCAGCCCGGCCGTGTGGCACCAGGCCTCAGGCCTTACTCGTTAAAATACGGGTCCAGGATACTACCAAATAGACCAGAAAGGCAGATCCTTAGACTTCCCTTCTTTACTAGTTCAGGCGTCAGATTCAGGCACAGGCACCGGGAGAGGAACCTGCGCATTGCCAGGTCAGAACTCAAAAGCTGTACTCGTCAAAATGCTTTATCTTTATCTCTTTTATGCTCTCGGATTTTTCTCACCTGTCCAAACCTGGAGTGCCCACTGATCTAGAGGGAAGAGGGTCAGAGGCCCTCTCCTCGCTGGCACCACGCTGGCCCGCCAAGTGCTAGCTCGTGATGGGCCTGTGGCGCGGGGTAAGGGAACGCTGCCAACATGGGGTGGGTGAGGACAGATGCTCGGTCTTTCACCTAGTACCAGGGCAGCTTCTGAGTGACTGGCTGGTGCAAGGAAGTTAACTACAGGATCCTTTCAAAGGCCAGCAGTAAGAACCAAAAACTCTCATAAGTTACTTAAAATCATAACAACACTCACAATTTTCTGCGAATATCCCACCAGCTGGATTTTACTGAGGGCGGAGTTCACCTCTTGCATAGTGTAGCATCTTCTCCAGGTAGCCACCTCCACGGCGTCCTTGAGGGGAGAGGGCAGCAGCCTGGAAGCGCACACACGTCAGCTCTTGTTAGAGGGCGTCCCTTCAAGAGCTGTGTCCGGCCTCCACGCGGCCCGAGCTACTGGCACAGAGCTGGTCTCGGGCTCCCTCAGAATCGCCTCTATTTCCGTGAGGGTTGCAGTGCTCGACCCGCTTTGATTCCTGACCCTAGTAACTGGCGCCTTCTCGTCTTTTCTTGGCCGGTTTAACTAAGGGTCTGTCAGTTTGTGGAATTTTTTTTTCAAAGAACCAACTTCTGGCTTAAGTCAGTTTTCTCTAATACTTTTCTAGTTTCTGTTTTCTTTAACTAGCACGTAGCTGAAGCTTGGTTTTGTTTACTTTGTAAAAGTGCACTCTGATAACCTCTGCCATTTCAGCGGGTTGTTTAAGCTATTCGCATTTAATGGCACTACAGATATGGTATAGCTGGATTATGTCTGCCTATTTAATATTGTTTTCTGGAAGTCTTTTTTTTTGTTGCTCTATTCACTTTACTACTTTTTTCCACTCCTCCCACCCCCGGCAGTTATTTCCTTAGGGTAGTTTTAGGGCTTATCTACATCTTGTACATTTGACTCACATTCTCTCCCTTGTTCATAAAAAATAAATGAAGTAGATTTACTCATAGGTCTGCAAAGCTACAGAGATAGACTAAACACAGTGAGGCTTGGCTTAAAAGAGGAAAACAGAACATGATTTGTGACTTTTTACATCAAAAGCATCCCTTAAAACAAACAAGGAAACAAAAATGTGTCATTAGAAAAACATTTACATTTGCTCTAACACTGTCCAGAGCAGGCCTGAAGAGTCTATCCCCTGAGAGTCACTCTACAATCTGAGTCAAAGAAGTTTTGGTAAATTGAATATGTGCAATAGCTCTGCTCTCTCTCTTGGAACACAATGAATAATGGTACAAGGTCTCTCTCTCTCTCACACACACACACACACACACACACACACGCACGCGACAAAAACAAGAGCATCTTAGAAATGGAAAGCACAAAGTCTTAGTGCAACTTTAAAGTTCATTTCAAGTAACCTACATTGTGAACCCACAAAAGCTCAACTTTAGAAACGATAGGTATGTCTGAAAGCCCGAGGTTGAGCTAGGTCTTAAAGAGGGTTAGTGGGAAAAAAACTGATTGAAAAATAGAAAAGCCCAGTTCTCCTCACCTATTCCTTATAGTTCAGCAATTGCCCACTCCGCTCTCAGGCATGACACCAGAAATTCTCTGTGGCAGGGAAAAACAGGAGTCTAGACAAGGGAAACCATGACAGTGGGAGGCAGCTTTCTGAAGCCAGTACTCTATGTACTGAGAGTAACGATTTTCTTCTCACACACTCCCTGAACACTAGCAGTGAGCCTCATCCCTCCAGGGTCGGAGAATGGAAGAACCTCTAAATATCTGATCAGCATCAAGGAAGAAAAATCAATGAGAAAGACATGTAACAAAATGATTCAACCAGATCACATTCTGGTAAAGTCCAGAATTCAAAGCCTACTCATGGCACAGACTTTCTAATCAGTTTTTTGTTATTCAGCACTTCACCAATGACTACAATTATCATACATTTAAGGAAAGTCTCTAAAACGAGAAAGGTGAAACAACTGGAGGGACCAGAGGAGAGGAAGTGAGAGGAGACGAGTTGGGCAGGCAGATGGAACTTTAAACAACTCTCATTAACTAACCTTAGAGAGAGAAATAAGATCGTGTTACCTAAGAGATGAGACTCCTGCTAAAAAGGGGCTCTTACAAATAGATACAACAGCACAGAGACAACAAAAATGTATTTACAGAATATACCCAATTTCAAAAGAAGCTAAAATCATTTAAAAAGGTTACATTAAAAAAAAACATAAAAAAGTTACATAAAAAAAACCACACAGCAAGTTGAAAAGCTTAAAAATGAGGTGCCAGAATCAATAATAAGAAATTTACAAAATATCTCAGAAATAAAGACTAAGCTAATAGAAACACAACAGTAGATAAACACAACAGATTATGTCATGAGAAAAGTATAGGAAGAGAAATTCCAAGCATTAAAAAGAAATCACAAGATAAAAATAATTTGAAAGAAAGTGGCAAACACTGAATACAGGCAAGGAGGGTGCAACACACAGATAACAGGAGTCCCCAATGGAAGTCCAAGTGAAGAAACAGAAATACTAAAAACCATAATTGCTAAAATACACTTGAAACTAGACACTGAAAGAACACAATGCAGAACTGAGAATACTGACCCCAAAAACTAACACATTCTGGGAAAACACTTAACCACAAAGAAAAGAGACAAATAAAGCCCTAGGCAAGAGCAAGTTACTTTCTAAGGGAAAAAAAATCAGATTATATTTCAGAATTTTTAATAGCAATGTTTTACTAGGAGAAAATAGAGTAATGTATTTATGTTGCTCAAAGAAAGAAAATGCAAGTCAAGGATTGCACACTAGCAAAATTGACTTTCAAGGTCACAGAGCACAGATAACAATTATTGACCTGCAAGGACTCAGGGAATATTGTTCTCATGATCTCATCTTAAGTTATCTTCTGAAGAATAAGTTTCAGACAACCAAAATGTCTTTGGAAACATCAATATATTGGCTGGTAGGTTATGAGCATAAAATGTACAGTTACTTATAAAAATAAGACCAAATGAAGGTTAAAAGAGAGAAAATAGTATATAACGGCTAGTGTATAATGTTCTCAAAATACTGATGTCGTAAAAACATACAAAGAAAAAACTGGAGGAAAATATATATGCTTTGTCCTTCAAAATGGTGTGATGACCAACGCAGCAACAGTGAGTATTGCTAACAACAAGAAAGGGAGCTTAAAAATTCCCCTTCCCACTCAAAGAATTTAGTTCCTTTCTTGGGGAAGTGGGTGACCCCATATTTAGGGCAGGGAACGTGGAAGCGCAGTCTTGAACACCCTGCTATACTAGCTAATCTGGAAACAGAGTCCACCTGGGTCAGACAGAAGGAACAGTGGAGGGCCTGGAGGGGCTTTTGCTGCCCAAAGACAGAAGATTCCAAGCTGCAAAAAGGATGATACCGCACTGGATGGAAATCAGTAATGTATGTTTCAGTGCAGACTGTGACCAGATTGGGTAGACGACTGGAGTTAGTGACAACTTTCCATTTTTTGGCCTGGGTGGTATTTATAAGGGTGACTGCTTTATAATAACTTATTTACTGTCTGTTAGTCTTGCTTATTTTTGGTATCCTTGTTTTACAATTAAAAACTTCTTTTAAAAAAAATAAAAAAACTTACACAAAATAAGAAATGATAACAGAAAGGAAAACCTCATGGAAACATGGTCAGATAAGGTTAAGCGAATTTCTTAAACAAAAGAAAAAATAAAAAGAGAAAAAAATTTAGTAACAATCCAGGAGGTTCAAAATATATGTATGCGTTCCAGAAAGAGAATAGAAATTCTTGATTTCTCTAGATAGGGGGTTAACAACCGTTTTCTATGAGGGGCCAGACATGCTTTCAGCTTCTCAGACCACGTCGAGGCTCTGTCACAACGCTTCTATGTGGCAGTGTAATGCCACTGACAAGGTATAAGTGAATATGGCTGCGTACCAATAAAACTTTACTTATAAAAATAGCAGGAGGCCAGAGCTGACCTACAAGGGAGGGGCCTGGCCACAGTTGCCACCCTCATTCTGGATTGACAGGGCCCACTAAGCACTCAGAACACAAATGGAAACTGTCTTTCAGCAAGACATGTCAGCATGAACTTAAGGCACAAAGAAGATTCTGAAAGATTCCACAGGGGACTAAACAGGATACAGATGAAGCTCTAGACTCAGAACAGCACTGGCTTTCCCCAGCATTTCTGAAGCTCGGTGGAAACACAGCAATGTCTTCAAGAGTCTATCTAACCTGGGTTTCTATCAGGGTGTGAGGGAATAACAAAGCCATCTTAGACGTGTAAGATCTCAGAAAATTTACTTCCCGTGCACTTTCTCAGGGTGAGTGGAGGATGTGCAAAATGAAGTTGTGAAAGGAAAATGGAGCTTCTAACAAAAGAAAGAGGTGAAGAAATCTCCAGGATAATGACTAGAAAATCCTAAGCTGGAAGCGATATACAGCCCAAGAGCAGCTGGAATCAGACGGGAGGGGGTTTATGGGGGGGGGGGGCAGGGACTGAGAGAGGATTTCTCAAGAAGATGAAACTGTCAGAACTTTTCTTGAGTCTGAATAAACTGATGAGAGTTTTCTACAAATGCCGGGTGGGGAGATAAATTAGTGATCCATAACGTATGCAAACAAGGTAGTCACTAACTCAGGGGAAAACAAAAAGTTGGACTAAAGAAGGAAAAATAATGCTAATAACGTTATAAAGTCAGTGAGTTGCATTTATCCAGTCATAATAATGTAAACACAGAATACTTAGCCAAAATAGCATTTACATCAAGTTGTTCCAATTCTCTTTACCTTTTATTTCTCCAGCAACAAAATATCAATAACCTTTCTCTTGAGCTTCCGCATAAACAGACACATGAAGATTTTATTTCACTCATCTGTTCTATGTATATTGAACTCCTTTAGTTTTTACAATATTTATTCAATAAATATTTACTCAGCCCTGACTGCAGCCACAGCATTTAAGTCCTGGCAGGGGTGTAATAGGCATAAGACAAAGGCCTCTGCTACAAGGAGCTTAAGCCTAGGAAAAATTTTACAAGAGTACAAGGTGATGAAAGAGACATCACAGCCATGAGTCACCTTGGCCTGTAGGCCTACTGCCTCCCAGAAGAACCTAAGTGACAGTAAAAAATGCAGACACACACACACTCACTCTCTCTCTCCCTCTAATGGCTCGCTATTACATTCAGGATAAAATCCAAGGCTCTTAGCATGACTTCTTGATAAGGCCCTTCTTTATCTCGATCTCCCCTCAGCCTCTATGAAAAAATTTCAACATCCTGTGGTACAACCGCTAACCTGGCTTCTTTTCTCTCCTTCCTGGTGCCACAGGCTGACTGTAGCCAAGCAGCACATGTCAATCATGCCACTGTGTCCTGCACCTGCCCACACCGCTCCCTCGTCTAGAAGGCTCTCTACTGGCCTCCTTCAGGCCCTGCTTCCTTTCCTAGCCTAGGTCTGGCCACTTAGCACCTAAATGTTGCTTGACAAGCTCCTTGAGTACAAGGGACTACATCTTAAACTCTCTGGGGGCATTTTTCTACTTATCATAATGCCAGGCACTTGGAAGTCAACAAGTCTGAAATTCTCTGAATTCCATAAATATGCCCATAAAAGACTTGTTTGCTAATATTTCCTCCCTTTTGAGCTCTTCAGTCACTTTGTCATTACTTCCTTCTGTCTTCTAAAATCCTGTCTAATGTAGCTTTCCCTCAAACTCTCCTCAGGCTTACTTGAGGCCTTAACTGGACGGAGGTATTTGGAGAACCATGCAAAGCTATTAGGATTATTGGCCGATTTAGGATAAGTTGGATAAGGAAACCCAGCGGGAACTAGCTGTTTTTTTCTGGCTTTCTAATTTATCAAAGTCAGGGTCTCAGAGTCTAAATGTTTCGTAAGTACTTTCTAAAAGATTTCATTGTTTTGTTTTGGTCTTATCACATCTGAGTGCTTAATAAACTTTCCCAGGGCTGGCCTCTGCCAGGGCTCTGCTGTCTCTCCTCCACCCCAGCAGGCAGTGCAGGGTTATGTGTTTCTGTTAAAGAGAAAACTTTTAAGTCCGTAGGGACCACTTGAAAGTTTATAAATAAAACACTGGCTAGGCTTTTGTTTGATGAATGAATGAATGAATGAATGAACATAATGAATGTAAGGGCATAAGACAAAGAACAGAAGTAGCAGAAGTGTGTTTTTCCTCTCATTCAGCAGTGTGCTTACACACACATGGGGGGTGTGGGGGTGCGTGCGTGCATGGGGGAGGGGGTATGAGTTGAAAATAGAGCCTCAAAATCAGCACTTTTCATTATGAACCTGAAACCAGTTGTAATCCTTGATTTTTGTTTTAGCTCAATTTATCTCTAAAATGGACTAAGGCAATGTCTTAAGCCACCAAAGCATCAGAGAAGGAATTCTCATGGGCAGCTAAATTCTCTTTGCTTTAATTCTAGGCTCACCAGAAAAACACTTAGAATTTGATCTCTTAAGTGGACCTGCTGATCAGAACAGAGTGTCTCAGACAGATGAACTACTCTAGTTCTGGAGCTAGGCTGATGTCTAATATCAAGTAATTAAAGGGGATTTTTGTTTGTCAGTCAATTCCCCAGAAGCTTGGTTAGTACGAATCAGTCCCTCAGAGGCTAATCAACCCTGAGCAAAATGAAATGATGAAGTTTCTGGAATCGCCAAGCTGGAGTAATAAGCAGTGATGCTTCCACCAGAGGACGGCCACTCTGGGGCTGCTTCAGGAGCCTCTCCCTCTGACATCTTTAAAAGCTGTGATACAAGTGAACTCAGAGAGCAAGTAATTCAATTCTCATATTTACAGGGAAGGAGATTGAGTCTCAGAGTCTGAATGGTCGTGCAGCAGCGGGATTAGAGAGCTGCCTCCTTCCTGCTCTTTCCACCTGCTTCCATCAGAAAAGGCCAGCGTGAAGACAAATGCAGCGAGGGAGGTAGTGGGCACTGGTTACCGAAAGGGGTTATGTGGGCCAAGTGGGATGGTTAGAAAAAGCAAAGGACGCTGGTGTCTCCTGAGCACCTACTACGTGCCCAGCAATGTTTTAAGGACTTGACTCATGTTACTCATTCAGTTCTCATAACATCCCTTGGAAGTTGCTAATGTCATTTCTAATTTGTAAACGAGGAAACAGCCTACAAGAAATACGCTGCTGCAGCTACTAAGAAGTGGATCTGAAATTCCAACACCAATCTCTTTGACCTCCAAGCTTGCAGCTTTAATTTTCTCCTTCCTATATAATGAGACCTATATATTCCTCTACAAATAGCCAAGGTGTGCCAGGGCAGAGAACTTCAACTACAATATGTTTTTTTTTCTAGTTTGCCTTCTATATGGTATGGAGTCACCTTTTAAGCTGAGCACTAAAAACTGCCATAACAGCCAATGAATAACTCCTTAATGCTTGTGAGAGGATTATGACAATATCCTGCATAATTTAGCCTTAATTATAATTGTAGATTTCTAGCAGTAGACAGAAAATGCTAGCTGTCTGTAAAAAATACTAGAGGCTGGGTTAGTTTCTGGAGTGGGATATTTTGCTTTTTCCCATTAACAATCTGAATTTTGAAGTGAGTATGGAAAAGTCGGACTCAAAAAATTATATTACAAGAGTCTCCTTTTCTTACCCTTCAAAATCTCTTTTTCAGAAAAGTAAACTGCAATGTGAAAATGAGGAGGAAGGACGGCTAACCTCCCCTAAATAAATCTCAAGGAGCCATGTCAACGGAGGCCGGGAGCCAGACAGCTGCCAGAGCAGGAGCCACTGTTTTTAGGGTCTACGCGCTGACACTAAATCAAACGCTACCTCAAACTACCTTCAAGTGATTTAAGGGAATTTGTCAGATTCCTGTGACCAACGAGTTTGAAGGATTTTAATTCACTGTGTCCTGGAGGCTGGTGCTCTCTTTGGTAAATCAAGCTACTAAGGTATCTTGCATTCGCTTTAGGCTCTTCACTAAGAGTGTGGCTGTATAAAGGTAAAGTCAAAAATTAGAGACTTAAGCTGCAAAAACTCAGAGGTGTTTTGCTTGGATCATTCAAGGTTTTATTTTAATGCATGAGCCAACATTTTAAAAAAGATTTTTAAAAATCACATTTAAAACACCCAGATTTTGAGATTCTCTTTAAGGAAAAAAAAAAAAAAAAAAGGGAAGCTTTGGCAGCTCCTGTTCCCATATGGTCACAATCTGTGGAAGCTCCAAGTCGGCCGCCCCTCTGGGGGGTGGTCACCTGCCCAGCTCTCCACCTTGCTCCTGTACTAACTCTCCCCATTTCCACAGGCATCTGAGTAGGTGGCTCCTACTTCACAAGAACTGGATCAGAACGCACGAGTTAAAGAATGAAAAAGAGAATGAAAAGCTGAAGAGAATACACAGCTGCATCACTTGGGGGATGTCAACATATCTAGGATGCAAGAAACAGTGTCTGCTAACAAGCCCCAGCATGCTGGGAACCAGACATCAACTGGCTTAGGACAAGGAAATTCAAAAGCGACATCAATTCTTCAGCATATGTTGTTCAAAAGAAACATTTTTAATATTCTGGCCCAGGTTAAATTCTAGGTGAATGGTCCCTAAAAACTTCTACTGCTTCTAATACTGACACTGAATTTATTCTAGAGAAAAAGAGGACCCAGCTTCTTGGTTTGTCTCTGAAACATCTCAGCAAATTCTTTCCGAGTTATCAGACTCTTTTCTACCAAGGGTGGTATTTTCTACCAAGCATGGTTTATATCACGTCACGTTCACAGTGAAAACAAAATACTTGACCAGAATCAGAAATACCCTCAAGAAAAGTGGTCTCTCCAGTGGCACAAGTTATTCCCTGCCCCTTCCACGCGCGCTGGCAACAGTTTCTTTTGCCCACCAGGGGGCGAGCTAGCAAATTCCAGGTTTTAGTTCAATGCAAGACCCTTGTAAAAGGGAGATTCCTCAGCACCCTGCCAAGTAGCTTTCTGCCCCCCCCACCCCCCAGCTCTCAGCTCCTGCAAGTTCCATTCACCCTTCTCACAATCTACAAGGGCAGTTTTTTGTGAGGCAGTTATCTTGTATTTTACAAAAATGGGCGGCAAAGGGAAACTGCCAAGGACTCTGTCCAAGGTCACCGAAGACAAGGCCAAATGAGGACTTGGGACTTCCTAAGACTTGGCCTAGGGCTTGGAGTCAGGAAACAGTGACCTTAGGACATCATTTCTGGTGTGCCAAAATTATTTGCAGCAGAATATAAAAGGGTGTACATTTAAAAGGAGGAAGCACCGGCAGCCAAGGCGTCCACGGTCCACAGGGGAAGAAAACAAGGTCCCAGGTCTCTGAGGAGGGAGACTAGAGGAGTCCAATGTGAGAGGAGAACAGGGCACGGGAAGTGGCACTGCACAGGCAGGAGGGGCTGAGAATGGGAACGCAACCTGTGGGGGTGGGGGTGCTGTGTCTCAGGTCAGGGGACAGAGGAAGACTCAGATGTAAGTGCGCCTAGAACACGTTTCCTGGCATGAAGCTCTCCTGACACCATATCCCCAAACTTAGGGAACAGACATAAAAGAGCCACAGAACACAGGAACACATGTGCAGTTAGATGTACTTCCTCCCCTTCACGTGAGAGGGACAGAGGGGGGCCAGCACAGTGGCTGAGGGGCGGACTCTGGTACCTGAGCGGCCTGACCTCCTGGGCTGAACCCGGACCCGCTGCCCACCAGGCAGGTGGCCTGCCGTAAGTTACTCAACCGCCCATGCCGTTTCCTCCCCGCGAGCTGGTAAGCTTAGGGGTCAGGTGAACGAACACTGTTCCCTGAATACACTACATTATGCTACTGGGCCTGAACCCCACTTCTTGATCTTTTCTATTGGAAAAGTCATTTTCTCCTCGGAGACCCACCCTAACTGTCACCTCCCAAGGAAAGTCCTCCTCAGCTGTAAGTTCAGTTCCCGGGGGCCAGGCCTGGATGAAGCATCTTTTCTAACACCTGCCGTGCAAGACTCACTCACCTGGAGCCTACCTGTCTCATTTTCTATGAAGACCTGTGCACCTCAGAGAGAGCCAAGGGTTGGACAAGGTTCTGAAACTCGAGGACCCAGGGCAGTGCCTTGCTCACAGCAAAAGCCTCTCAAGAAGGGTGGGCTGAATCAAGCCTCACCCTTTCATGTAGCCCAGGAGAGAGAATCTTTGCTCTAACAGTATAAATATCACAGCATGAAATAAGCAAACAGCTTTGCAAGGCCCGGCACAGTGGTGGGAGAGCCGGGCCAGCGCTCACCGCTGAATGTCCTTGTTTTTCCACAGGGAGGCTGACTGGGCCTTTGGCACTCTCTCAATGAAGCTCACCAGCTCCTCCATGAGAAGCCTGAGTTGAAAGAGAAAACATGAGGAACTGTCAGAAAAGAAGCAGAGAAGTCCTCCCATCACGCCATTACCCGAGCCGCAAGGAAAGAGCTTGTCTGCTCCCGCTCCTTCCGCGACAAGCCTGGGCATCCATTCCCTGGCCCCGTCAGTCTGGTGCCTCGTGGTCTCCCCTTTCCCCGGGCACTGACCATAGCCTGGAGAGGGCACTGCTGCGCTGTGGGCAACCGGCCTGGCACAGAGAGTCCAGGCTTCATTTTTGGGGTGCCCTCTGGCCAGAGGCTGCACAGGACCCCGCTGCATCCACAGCACCTCCCCCACCCTGCGCTTTGGCGCCGACGGCTTTACTTTAGGAATACAGCACCCGTCGGTGTTTGTTAGTATACGTCCGCGTGGTTTTTTATTCTGGGTGGTTTTCTTCACCTAATTTGTTTGTCACTGAGTGTTGCTACGGTTCCTAGAAGCCACCATGGTCACAGGAAGGCGTGGCAGGGCCCCACTCCCCTGCCCCGCTGCCACTGTGCCGCCACAGGGCCCGACTCCGAGGGCAACGTGGTCACTTCCCTCGTGCCCCTGACAGCGGGGATGCTTTCCCTGGAGGCTGCCTGCCTGGGGCACCTTGCTTTAAACATCGCCCCCCCACCCCCCACCCCAGTTAGCTCACCGCACCAGGGCGGCGCCCATGAGCGCTGCCTTCCAGTTTTCGAATGGAGATGGCATAAAGCCATCTCCACAGCCCCCTACCTGGCTGGTCAGTGAGAGCTGCCGCCTGTGCCCACCCTTGGGTCAGCAGCTCAGAGGAAAGGCCAGCCACGTCCGGCCTGGACTTTGGTGGGCACTCACCCCTGAGGCAGGCGCTCTCCAGCACCTTCCAGCGGACGCACCGCGGCCGGCTCACCTGCCAATCTGCACGGTGGGCTCCGTGGCATAGACGGTGCCGCTGAAGCCCGTGTGCTCCGTGATGTAGGGCAGTGCCGTCATGCAGTGGTAATTAGAGATGAGGATGACGTCCACCGTGGACAGGTCAATGAGCTCGGTCTGAGGAGGAAGGGCAGCAGCATGCATCTGTGCTTGGGCACACGGGCAATGAGGTGTGGGGATGGGGGGGGCCCTTTCGCTGCACAGGACCAGGGGCTGCACCTCCCAGTTTCTCTGTAGATTTCCTAATGCCAAGGCAAGTGGCAGGACAGGGAGGCCGACCAGGGAACGCAGCTGGGCCACACAGCACTAGGATGTTACTAGCTTCGAACCTAGTTCCGAGTCAGCTACAGGGGACAAATGCCACCAGATAACACGGAGCAGAGGCAGTATCCACTTACGTGGGGGACAGGGCTGGGACGTCCCACAGCTGGGGACCCCTGGGGCCACGGGGCAGGGCACAAAGACCAGCTCTGAAGGGGCAAGTGCCAGGCAGCTTGGACACGAGCTGTGCATGAGCGGGACCCAGAGCCAAAGGGAACGGAGTGGGAGTCCCAAGAGGCAGGTACCTGCTCCGTCTGCCCTCAGCTCAGCTCTCACTCTCCCCCTGGACTCTGCTATTAAGGTCACGGGAAAAGGGAGCAGGCAGGTTGGCAGGCAGGGAAAATGCCACCCATGTTTAGTGAATTTTGTGCAAACCCCTTCAGAAGATGGGGATATTTTCCCGTTAGACGCCCTGTCCTCCCTAGCACTGAAGCAGCGTCTCCCGCAGCAGCACCCGAGTGTCATGGCCTTCACTGGCCGTGGAGCCCTGAGAGACTCAGGCCTGGACCCCGGGCACTGTGGTCGGAGGGCAGACTGGCCAGCAGCACCGGCCAGCAGCACCGGCTGAAGCCAGTTTAGCCACATCATTTCCACCACTGAGCTCACCCGGAAACGGCCTGGCGGGCAGGGGGCCGAGGAGGTGTTTTGGGCAGGAAAATGGGTGCGTGAGCTAACGTGCCTCTCAGAGAAGCAACAAAGATGTCAGTGCCGCCGCTGCAAGGGAGAGAGACACTGCGCCCTTCGGGCCCTGGGTCTTTTCTGGTCGAATGACTTTACATATAAAGCAAGGTAATTCAATAAAGTCGCCAAGGCATCTCCAGCTCCCGAGAACAGCATGTAGATTAGAGGCCAGCAGCGCTCGCTGTGCGCGTGATGACAGCCCTGTGAATAAAACGCCAGCGACAGCAGTGTCCACTTCACCCCCACACACGTGTCTTCGTCCTGAAGGATCCTGTCAGTCCTGCCGCTCCACTCCCCACTGCCTCGCTGGAACCACCCCAAAAGCAAATAAGGAAACCAAGACAGCGCGGAGGCCCAGGCCCAGGTGGTGACAAGGGAAGGCCAGCTGAAGCGACAATAAAGCTCAGGAGCATCACCACCTCCCCTAGAGCCGATGGAAACTGGGAAGAATATTTCAAATTTTGCTTTTACGTATACAAAGTGGCCCACAGAGTCTAGAAAGGTGAGAAATCTGATGCGGACAATTAGAAGGGAAAAAAAGCGGTATACACTTTGTCAAATGAGTGCCTCTATAAACATCTTCCCTCTGAGAAATGACCAAGCCACACGTATATGTTCACTTACATGCTCCCTTGATGAAATCCAACAAAGAGTCTTTTCACCTTAAAACTGTGGGATGCAAACACTTGGGTTTGACAGCCTGTTGAGCTGGGTCAAAAATCCACTGATCTACTGGGTGCTTGCTCACCGCGCGTGCAGGCCTTGCACACGGTCTACAGTTTAGACTTTGGGGGTACAAAGAGATTCCAGGTAGTTGCCCCAGATTCTGAAGGCCACGAGGACTGGGGCTCAGTGGGCCTGGCTCAGCCAGCAGCCGCTGTGCAGGAAGCCCTCTTCCAGCTCCACGCTGTGTGGCCCTCAGACTGCGCTGCCTCCACCTTACACACTCACTGAGAATGACTGGTCTGAAACCACAACTTTTGGCACATTACAAGTCAGAAAAGCTTCTACGGCTCTAGGACCCTAAACTGCTCACTATTCCTCTAGCTCTGCAGAAGGTGAAGCGTGAAATGGTCCGAGTCCCTCAGGGCAAGTTGGCAAGTCGTGGGACAGCAGCGTAAACAGCACGCCGGCCACACACAGAGGAGGCAGCAGTTAGTGCTGCAGGCGGTGAAATGAAATACAGACCGCGGCTGGGGTCTCGAACAGATGGGGACCAGCCCCACCAACACCTAAGCGACAAAGGACGACGGTCATTTCAGCAGCAGTGTGGACAGCTCAGGAGTCTTGGGGATCTACCTTCACTCTGATGCGCACCACTTTATCTTGAACTTTCTGTTCGGATACCACTTTCCGATAGCACGTCTCTCTTTCTCTGCTGCCCTCAAAGAGCACAGGCACATAGTTCAGAGAGAGAAGAAAAGCGTATCTAAGGGAACTGAAGAAAGCATAGAAATGCAGAGAGGGCAAACAGGGGAGCAGCATCCCCAGGGTCTTTCTCTCTTTGGCACTGAGCAGCAGAAGCATGTCCTACGAGCTCTGTGACACACAGGCCACCGGAAGCAGCAGGGGGGCTTCCCGCCGACTTCCCGGGAGCCCTGACCTGCCGTGGGCACCCTTACACTTCACCATTTGCTGAGAATTCCGTCTAGGCCCTGGGGGTGGGGGTGGGGGCAGCCGAGGAGGACCTCCCACAGGACTAATGGAAACTGACCTTCACTTCCTTTAAAACAATGACTCTGGTCCCAAACTCTGACAAGTCTCACTGTGAAAATAACATGTAAGTGGCAGACAACCAAGACTAGGTTCAGAATTTGTGAGTTTCCAGCTACATTCAATATACTTGAGGTCAGTTGGAATCTCCACAGCACTGGCCAAGTAGCAGCAGCCGCAGTGAGCCACTGTGAGCAAGACCAGGATCAGTCCAGTTAACTCGAGACATGGGTGAGGACGGCAGCACCCAGCCTCCAACTCTGCCCCCTACAAGGGCCCTGGGGGTTACAGGCGGAACAAGGAAGAGGAAGGAGAGTGACTTCGCCGACGATGAAAAGCTCCTAAAGGCTCCCCCTTAGCTGTCTACCAAGGCGCCTGAACAGATTCACTTCAATTTGAAAACAGGAAGCGAAGCCCCTAAGTATTTCTCGACTTCATCTGGAGAGATGACACGATATGTTCTCTTTCCACAGTAAGATTCTCTTTTCTCTTACCTCTGGTAAGCAGAATTCAGGCACGGAATCCACAAACACATGACCCGAGCACTCCTTTAGTTCCTTAAAGAAACAAGAAGGGAAAACTCGAGGATGAGCTAGCCGATGGATACAGCACCAGGGACATTTCATTCCCAAACCCAACTTTCCATGAAGGCGCAGCCCGCTAGAGGTGCAAGGAAGCCGGGCCGGCGCTGAGGGCTCGCTGGCTGTCTAGGTTCAGAAGGCGATGCCTTCTTCGGGTCAAAGGCTCGGTGGGTGTGCGACTCAGGACTGGGCGGCAGGTGTGACGCCGTCCACGGAAGCCACGCACGGATGCGTGCTGCTCCTGAGCTCGTGATCCGACGGTTCCACCTCAACGCCGGCAGCCCACACAGCCACGTCACCATTGTGGGAACCTGATGGGGAAGCTTCCTGGGCCCCATCTTAGCCCTAAGACATCTGACCAGTAGATCAGGAGCTCTGGGGCTGGGGTCCAGAACCTGTATTTAAAGTACGTTAGCACAAAAAACCAGTACAGATCTCCAGTGTGCGTTCCCTCGCAAATGGACCTGAGGAAAGGGTGAGCCCGGACTTGCACAGGAGGAGCTGGAAAAGCACCAGGACGAGGGCAAGTGATAAAGGGCAGGAAGGTGGCTGGTCACGGCCGTGGTACTGACCACGTGGCACGGAGGGCAATGGGAATGATCGTGGTATGAAGGTAGAGCCTAGCGTCCCTCCCCAGGAGCACGGGAGCTGGGGTGCTTATGCCTTCTGTGCAGCTCCAGGCAAAGCTCTCAGGCAGAGCCACACAGGCACTGGCAGCTGGAATTCTGGAGTCGCTGGCTTCCCTCGTGGTGCTTGAAACTGAAACATGGAGGCCTTGTCACTCCATCAGGGCTAAAGCGATCTGTGACCTCACACAACCAGTAAAAATTAGAACTGGGTTGACAGACATTCCAGAAAAGAAAAAGTTACATAATTTTAATCAATCTCTGTCTCTATCTCTGTACCCCCTGCCCCCCTCTGTATTGCTGTGTTTGAGCTGAATGGTTTCGCTCTCAATCTTCATCTGACAGTAGGGTAAGCACTATCAGTTATTTTCCTTTTGCATTTCACAAGTCTCACAGCAGAACCTCGTTGAGGCTCCTGTCCTGATATGAACACCATTTAACCAGTGAAAGGCTGAGCCAAGAAGAGACTGGAAACAGTTCTTAATTACCACGGACCTGCCAGCTAAGAACAAATGAGCAATTATGTTTAATGGGAGAAGGCTCCCAGCTCCCTGAGGAGGAGCTTTAAAATGATTAAAGACAAATCATGGAAGTCTCAGAGCTCTGCCTGGTCCAGGATGGGCTGTGTCATCTCTGCTCCCACAATGCTACACCTCAGGCTAGTCTCCTCCCCTGACAGAGCTGCCCGTCCTTGCCGGCCTGGAGAAGCCTACTGCCATTCTGAGCACTGGCAATGCCACTGTACTTTCTCTACCACTCCCTGCTAATGAGGTGCTCCCACGTACACATATCACTCACGACGCGCTGGGGAGGGGAGGCTGCGGAGCTTCTCAGGGGATAATGATTTACAGGCAGCAGGACAGTTCAGCTGAAATCAGGTGCACAGGCTCGTGAATGTCACACAATTCATGGGTAGCTAGGAGGGAAATCTGGCTTCCTATTATGCACTTGGCTTGACTTGAGGTTGGGATGCAGTTACAGGAATTAATTCCGTGAAAAGAGCAGCACTTCCATAACAATATTTGTTACAAGGAAATGCTTTATTCAGATGAATCATTTTAAGGGTCTTTAAACTTAAGCCCGTTTCAATCGTAAAACCGCAGGGGAAGCGTGAATTAGAGATTGAAAGGTGGCCTGAAAGAGCTTTACTGTTTTTAACCTTCCTTTACCTGTTTTTTTTTTCCCCAGTACAAAATTTGACTAGTTTATAGTTTTAACATTTTTGTACCTTTGGTCTCTCATTTTTAAGTTAACTGCCTAATACTGATCTGAGGAAGGATTTACTGTGACAATAATCTAATGTCAAAAATGTAATGGCCTTGGGGAAAAAAAAAAAAAGGAATTGAAGTCATTTGCTTTGGGTTGATGATTCAAGTCCTGTAAGACCCCAGGCCCAGGGCTCGCCAGTCACAACCAATGAGATTGTGCATCCAGGCTCCCAGGAAAGGCTGGAACAGAACCACAGAGTCTAGAAGGCCCTCCACTCAAATTTACCTGTGAAATGCATCACCTTCCTGAATCTAAACAGCCAATGATTCCCTCAGTAACCACTCAGCTCCTCCACACCCAGTAACACCATCCCCCCAAACTCAACGCCCACTGGGGCTGTTCCCCACAGGGCAGTCGGAGTGACCAAATCAGAGGAGGGCCTCGTGGGCTCCTGTCACCCAGAGAATCACCCACCTCTTTTTACAAAAGCCCTACTTGACAGAAACAGCTTAAATTTCACATACCTGAGGAAGTTATAAGTAAGGAAAAAAAAAAAAGTTTCACTCCTTCCTGTCAACCTCAAAGTGAAACGAGCTGGATGGAATTCTCTAATAAGCATCGCCTTTCTAAGTCTCACTGCAAGTCTAAAAATAATAGTTTTCTTTCTGTGGTGATAAAAAGTATTTGCAGCAGAAGTTCTCAGATTTTTACACATGAACAAAATGAGTCTGCATGTGAACAATGAGAGTCTCTAACAGAATCTGAGAAACAATAACCAGCAAGTACTGAAGATCCCACATAAATCTAGGGCTTTCCAGGGAGTGCTCAGAGAGCAGGGGGGAATATGTGACCCCATTAGTCACCGGCCCCTGAGGGGGCTCTGGTGTGACAAGATGGCTTCTGCTAGGTGTCCACGTGCTGCAGTCAATTGTTACCTTGTCCAGAAAAGCGTTTCCATCCTTCAGGGACCAGCCAGGAAGGTTCGACAGCCTGGGACTGCAAAACAAAAGATTAAATCATCCTAAATAGATTATAATCCTCAGTGATTTCATGGTGACTGTACTGTCTCCACAAAGTTAAAATCAGTTGGAAATTACTGGCAGCAACGCTCACCCAAAATAGTAATCGGAGAGATGAAAATAAGCATGCTGGATCAGGCTTCGGAACTATGTGGCAAAGGGATAATTAAAAATCCAAGTAGTTAGCACTAAATTAGGAAATTAAAAGAATGCTATGCAGAATAATAAAGAGAAAAAAAGGAAGCGGAGACACCAGAGCCTGTGAGAGCTCTCCCACCCTGCCTTAGTCTTCACGGGGCCTGTGACGACAATAAGCTTGAGGGGAAGATCGAATGCACTAAGATCTTCACGTTGTGGCTGAGGAGACTCAGAGAGGTGAGGGCGCTGACGAGAAGCTGCCTACCAGCCAGAATGCGCGGCCAGGAGAAGCCCCAGAATCCAGCTCACGTTCCAGAGCCGCTGCTCCTTGGTGGGTTAGGCACACGCCACTTGCGGCTTTCTTGTGTACGTTACATTTAAAAAGCCTGAACTCAGAAATCATTTACTTCTAATAGTTTCCGAGTTAACCGTGTGCTAGTAGTTGATCAGAAGAATGATACTGGAGACTGAAAATGCAAATAATTTGGAGGAAAAAAAGCTGTCAAGAAGAAAAACTTAAAAATCAAGGTGATGTGTGAAGAAAAGCATACCAGGCACACAAGCTGGAGAGCAAAAGGGTTTTAGCATTTCACCACAAAGAGAGTCTGGCAAGTGAAAATTAAGGATAAAGTAAGGATGTGGGAGTAAAAGAATCTATAATCAGATAACAAATTGATACATAGTCCCTCATTCTCAGCCAGACAATTTTCAAATCTTTATTCCAATTATTAATCTAAGGAACGGAATTTAAATATGGAGAAAACTAATTAGGAGTATCTATTTTTGATATCCCTCTGGGGTGATTACACAGGAGAAATGCAATCAATTTAACTATTCAACTGGGAGTTTTTGTTTGTGTGTTTGTTATAGAGTCATATGATGCAGAATATTACATTTCTTTTGAAATTACTATAGAATTTCCTTCATTCTTTTGCATTGACTTATTGAGTCTTTGATAAAGTCCTTTTAAATTTGCAGATCATTAAAAAATTCAAGCATTATTAGGCTCAAAAGAACAGAAAGGAAGGTTTGAATAAAGTTTATGTAAATCAAGGAGTGGGCTAGCCTGCTTTAATTTCACCATTAAAGGAAAATAGAACCTTAGGAATAATGCTGTTGAAGCTTATTTAGAAAGCTTATTTGGAAAGATGTCAATAATATCTAATTTCAATGAAAATGTTTTGTTAGTATATATAATATGATCTAACATCAAACACTCTGTACCCAAATAGTAAACGATTATTCATGTGTGGATGGCTTTTATTTTCTGCTTTATAAAATGTATTCTTGGATTTTTCTAAAATATGAATACAGCATTTGAAATCATAAATTATTGAAAGGAAAAACGATTTTATCCATTTTGACCTTGTAATTAGGTGACAGTTGCAAAAGTCAAATAGAAACAAATATGTGAATATTTGTCTTCCAGGGTTAACTTTCAATTTTGACACAATTCCAAACCGTCAGAAAAGTTGCAGAATGTCCCATGTGCCCTTTGCCTAGATTGCTGACACGTTGCCTCTATTAGTCAAAAAGTCAGAATTTGGGATTTCACACTTGAGAACGAAAATGAAGACTAGTAGAATCAAATCTGGTTGGTATAAATTATACCTGATAATTTTTTTTTTTTTACCCTGGGAGTCTTTTGTTCTAGTCTCTCAGAAAAATACTATCATTAGCTGTTTAATTTCCATCCCATTTCATAGTCACAAGTCTTCACTTATAAACTTCTTACTTCTTGAAAAATATATTTACTATCAGATCAGATTAAAAACAACTAACTGTTCCAATAGAAGTTTAATGACAAGACAATGTGATGCTGTTCTCATTTCATGCACACTAACACTCTGAAAGGTCAGAAATATCCACACTTCCCTTCACAAAGAGAACTGGAACAGAGGACGTGCTGTCCCCATCAGACACACAAGTCAGCCTTCAAACACAGATGACTGACTTGGTTAGTCGTCCTCAACAAATGATCAGAAATGCTACACTGCTAATCAGAAAATAATTTTTTAAAAAGTAAACTTTTCAGGTGATGTGGTTTGGATTCTTGATAAACACTCTTTATACTACATAAAAGTCAGCAATGAAACACCTAGCTATTTTGGAGCTGAGAAACTGCTGGTAGTTTGCCTGAATGCTACAAGGAGAACATGTCCATGTTTTAACAACGAAAGATTAAGCCACAGAAACGAGTCACTGAATGGCAGGGGATGCTAACTGAGAGATGGAGATACGCGGTCAGAGTTCCTGTGAGTTAATGGCCAAACCAAAGAGCTAAACTTCAAGCTACTGAAGGAATGAGGACTCCTTACCTCGCTCTTAATGATTACAAAACTCTACTGTGTACATTTTTAAAACAAGGACATAGAAATCTCATTTGAATGAGTGTGTGTGTGTGTGTATGTGTGTGTGTGTTCCTCTTCTGGATAACAACTGTGGATGATAAATATAATTTCTAAATTCTGGGTGTGATTATAACTGAACTGACTTATCAGCTTTGCATGAAATGTAACCTGGAATTATCTCTGATTTTGTCCCTATTACCTTACTATAATCTCTTATCCTAGAAAAAAATTCAATGGTTGATTTTTAATTATGCTTTTTCTAGACAGTTCATGGGGTTATCATCATGAATCAGCATTGCACACTGATTTAGGACAACTTAGAACAAACCCAGGACAACACGCAGGTACTAGTAATCATTCCATGGACGGCGTTGTCTTCCAGCAAACTAGAGCTTGCTGTCTCTGGCGCATCAGTACATACCTTTGAACAAGTGGCAGAGGAAGGAAATTAGAGGGTGACGATACATTAGATGGTTTACCCCATCTGCTGTGATTTTGAGCTCATTAATCTACTTTAGATAACTTTTCTGTCTTTCTTCTTGCATGTTGGTATCACTTTTTGCTACTGGAAGTATATTTGTGACTAACAGTTACCGAGTTCTCCTATACTTTTCTGCTTCTAAGTAACAGCAAACTGGGAAACCAATTTCCTAGACTAGGTCTTAGCAAAAGTACACAGTGTTAATCACAGGCTTGGGGGAGGCAGGCTACATACGTGATCTGAGGGTATCTCCAGTTGAGCAGGATGAAAGTAATGCACAGAGACCTATCAAAAGGGGTGTCAGACTCTGATGACAACTCCCACAAAGGCAGTTGAATGTTTCTAAAATTCAATTCTTGGGCTCGTCAGTTGACCATTTATCTGTGCTTATATGAATTTGCAAGAAAGATGAAATATATATGACCTTGCTTGCACTGAGTAGTTGCAGGAATATTTTATAGAAGTTATAATAAAGAAGTCAGTCAATAAATCAATACAATACTTTCCATCCACCCAGCCAAGAGAAATCATTTTGATGGGAAATTATTTTAAGGGAACAAACTTAGGACAACATGCAGGTACTAGTAACCGTTCCACGGACGGCGCTGTCTTCCAGCAAACCAGAGCTCACTGTCTCTGGCGCATCAGTACGTACCTCTGAACAAGTGGCAGAGGAAGGAAACTGAGGGTGGAAGTCATGTCTAGTCCACAGTCCAACATAATGGTGGTGGACTTGAATTTGAGCACGTTGCATGGTAAGGTCGGGTGCCCTGACAGGCAATACTGGAAAAAAATGAAATGACTTTCGTTAATAACCAAGTAGAGTGGAAAGAAGAGAGAGCAGAAGGAAGTTAAGACTGATCACTGTCTTGCCTAGGAACATCGCGTGGTTTCAGCTGACACTCCACGCGGTGGCCTCCCTTTACAGCTCTGGGCACCCCCTCCCCTAGCACTTCAAAGAACGCAGAATCTCAGATCATCCCCATTTTTCTGTAGGCTACCAAGTTATTTCCCAGGTGAGCACAATTTTGGGGGGCACTTTGGGCTCCAGTTTCCGCTCTGTTCTCACACGACATTTCCAAATTCCCACTACCCGTCACACCTAACACTGCCCAAAGTGCCCCACTAAATCCTATGCTGGGTCCTCAAACTGGGCTACAGGCTTGGCTCTCTCCTGCAAGTGACTTTCCTGAAAGTGGGTGGGAAAGGTTGACAAGCAAGTGCCAGCAAAGGTTACATTTTAGTCTCGTCAGAAGAAACGTCGCCAAAGGAAGGTGGCTCTCCTGACCTGCGATGCTCAGCAGGCCTGAGGGACCCCAGCTCCCCACCACCCAGGAGTCTCTGGCCCGTGGCAGTGGAGCTCATAAGCCACCACGGTGGACCCACAGGAGAGAGATGAGGCGAGATGCCAACATTCCCCAGGTCCTCCTCCACAGGGTGGGAGACAGATGTGCCACACGGAGCCCTGCCCCCTTCCTAACACTACTGTGACGCTGACGGCAGAGAGGGGAAGGACCCATCACCCCACTTGCAAGGTTATTCCACAGGCGCCTCTCTTGAACAGCAAAGCCCAGAAGATGGAGGGATCCAGTTCTCACTGGCCGAGGGCTTTTATTTCTGACTCAAGTCCAAGTCCACGTGACAATAATGCCTGGCCCCACGGGCCACAGTCGCTCAAATTGTCTTCCCATGTATTTGTTGTGCTGGCGCTTCTTTCACGGGGGACATTTCCTGTGTTTCTCCAGAGGCTATTATAGGGCCTGATGGGTTTTTTTTTTTTTTTAAACTGCATTTTATGTTAAAGTCTAACGCCAAGAAATAATGTGTCTTTTCCAAGCCTCTTCTTTATTCCAAGTATATATATGATGACTCTATTCCCCTACTCAAAACTCACAACTCAAGGTCTGAAAAGGTACAAGGTTATTTGTGATGAGAAAAACATAAATTATTACAACTACAATTGACCTAAAAAAAAAAAAAAAAGCGCAGGAAGCATGGTTTAGGCAATCAGGCTTTACGTAAATTATTTTTGATAGGCAGAAAAATTTTCCTCCCAAAGAAGGCAGAGATATTCCCTCTCCCCATCCTCCACCTGGTTCCCTATTGCTAGCTAGGTTTCACCCCTGGCTGAGAATTACTTGTTAAAGATCAACCATCTCAAAATGAACACAAAGCACAATGTTAGACTAGCCCCAAACATTAACTAATGCTCTAATAAGCTCGTTCCTCTAGTTTCACTTAAAAAAATCAGATACTCAGTAAAAACAACCAAACAAAAGAGAAAAAATGAAATGTATATAATGGTTATTTCAGGGTGGAGTGATTATGGTGCAATTTCCTTCTTCCAGCTTTCTGTATTTTTCGGATGTTCAACAATGAGCATTTATTCCATTTTTATAATCAGGAAAAAAATGTGATGAAAACAAAACTAAAAATGTAGCCAGCCAACTGAAGGCCAAATCTTTATCTTCATCTGTAAGCCTGAATTAGGGAAAACAAGTTACAGGGAAGAGGGACCAGCAAGTAAAGGCTGCTGCTCAGAAGACCTCTGGCAAGGAAGTCAGCAGCTGCAAGGCGCCCCACTTGCTCCCACCCCCAGGGAGAAGAAGGTGAGGAGCACTTTCTGAGCACCCTGGGTGCCTCTGGGAGGTGTGCCTGAGCTGCGCCTCTCTAGCTGTGCTTTTATGCGCGAGGAAAGGGAACTTTCTGCAGTTGCAGCTACTTGGCTAAGAAGAGCCGCACAGTGAGGTCCCCCTACTCCCCGTACTCCCCAGACCCCAGTCCTGCTTTCCAAGCGGCACTGCACACTTGTGGGTCCAGAGTCGGCCGAGAGAGTGACTGGCTGAGGTTCACACAACAGCAAAGGAGGCCGGGGGAGGTGTCCGAGGTTTGCCTTTCTCCAGGTACAGCCTCTGCGCTTGCCCCCCTGCTGCCGGCGTCACCCAGCCGCTTCTCATGCAGGGAGGGTGATGAGGCGAACATGTGAACCTCTGAGGCATGCGGTTCAACTTCAAAAATCTGTATTACAAAAAGTTTGAAAGATTGCACTCATTTTGATGTTCCTTTCTTTTTTCACACTCGCACAAACTGAACTCAGCGTGCACTGCTCCACACGTGTCTCCCAAGACTCAGGAGGACGCGGTTTCCTCCGTCCACGCCGCACCCGGCTCCTCCTGGCTGCCTTCTGGCTGCCTCCTGGGTCCGCCTGAGTGTGCTTCATCGTCATCTGACTGTGGAACACGGAGGGCTGCTTCCAGTCGTTCTGCTACAAACACGGCATGGGGATCAAGGCTTTTTCCAGACGGGGCTGTTTCTTTAGAGGATTCCCAGAAGTGGCATTAACTAGGTCAAAAAATATGAGCACTTTATGGTTCTTGAAACACGCTGCCAAAGCGCTCTCCCAGAAAGGCTGAGCCTATTGACAGTGTCGTCAGTAATATATCAGAAGATCTGTTTCACTGCTTATTCCCATCAGAGGTAGGGTCAAAACCATTTAGAATCTACACAAACGTAGCCGTAATATTAACAGGAGCTATTGCGAAACCGTTAAGGGACCCGAACCATTAAGTGACCCTAAGATCAACCACTGTAAATCTGGAGGCAGCTGGTGAATGGCAGCCGGGGATGAGGTTAGACCACCTGAACCTAATCCTGGTCATGCTTGTTTCCAGCATGTGATTTTGGGGCAGTTACTTACTTTGCAAAGACTCAGTGTCCTCATCTGTAAGATGGAGTAAAAGCTGCGCCCCTCCTAAAGCTGTGAGGACAGAACGCGGAGCGTGCGCAGGGCCACGGACGATGGCACAGGACCACCCCGGGGGGCAGAGGCCATGAGATTGGGGGGGGGGGAGAACATGGAGCATTTGGAAGAGCAAGTCTGTTCTATAGTGGCATTCCTCAACACCTCCGACATTTGTGTATCCCTCTGGACTAGGTAAAACTGACCGATTTTACAAAAGTTGCTAATTTGCCCAGGAAGATATGCTCCCTTCCAAGTTACACGTGAGCGCTCCAGCCAACAAAGCCTTTACAGTTTGTTTCTAGTTCAGCAAGCACACAGCGATGGCTCCACGTTAACTGTATTTCTAATATTTTTGCTTTTCAATTTTTATTTAATTTCAATCCTCGTTTTGTTCTATTTTCTTTATATTTTAAACATTGCTGGAGTTGGAAATGTGGCTGATTAAAATACGCACTCAAGCTCCAGACAGCCCTCTTACATGCTATTCTGGATGCATTTTGCAAATTTGTTTTTTATTCTATCCATTTCTAAATACTATAATTTCCATTGTGATAACTTCTTTGAGCCATAAACTTCTAATTATGTTGTGGTCAAAAATTAGAACTGGTACAACAATTTTTGGGTATTTATTGAAGCTGCTTTGTAGCAAAATACCCTGTAAATAGCTGATTTTTACATATGGCCCACTGTGCATGAAAACTGAAAATATAATCTAATTGTTACATGCAGAGTACATTAAGTTCAGTATCTTTTTAAATTATTTTATGTTCTTACCTACTTGAGTCCTAGGAAAGAAGTATTGTCAATTTCTCTTTATATCTGTCAAGTTATACTTCACATATTTTGAGGTTGTACTGTTACCTACATAAGGATCAGGATGATTAGTAGTGAATGGTTTCTTTTATTATTACACAACACTCTTTGTCTTACAATTTCTAGATTTATTTCTAAATAATATAGCATACCAATCATGGTGAATCATTGCCTCAAGTGGTTTTTCTTTTAATGAAATTTTATAGACACTTGAGTACAAATGAATCAGGTACTTTTATTTTTTATTTATTTATTTTTAAAAAAGATTTATTTATACAAGCACTGGGTACAGTGAGAGGCATGGGAGGATGAGAGAATTCACCAGAGCCAGGGCGGGGAGCAGAGCAGGCAGACTGATGAAGTACACTGCTGAGGGGAGCAGTGGGCGCAGCAGGAGAGGTCTGTCGTGCCACGTGGGAGCCTCGCCGGCGGCTGGGGATCACACCAGCACTGCAGAGGCTGCGGGCAGCTTTGCAGCCCAGCACTCAACTGCTGCGCCACCATGGGAGGCCCTGAATCAGGTAGTTTTATAGTTTAAAAAAAGAAAACCTCACAGCCCCAATCCAAGAGGCAACTACTTGAATTCTTCTTTTGTCTTTTCAAGTTTTCTCTGTATTGTCTATTTTGTTGACTGTTTTTCTTTTTTTTTAAGATTTATTTATTTATGCATACAAGAACTGAGGTACAGGCCAGAGGCTTGGAGTGGGGGTGGGAGGTGGGGTGAGAGAAATCACCAGAGACAGAGTGGGGAACAGAACAGGCAGAATGACCGAAATACACTGCTGAGGGGAGCAGCGGGCAAAACAGGAGAGGTCCACTGCGCCATGTGGGCAGTTCCCTGGCCGGGGATCAAACTCATGCTGCAGTGGCTGCAGACAGCTCCACAGTTTGCGTCCCAACCCCTTGCACTGCCGGAGGCCCCTGCTGTTTTTCAAAGAACCAGCTTTCGGTTTCATTAATTTGTTGGGCTTTCTGATTTGTTTCCTTTATTTCTGCTCTAATTTTTGTTATTTCCTTCCTTCTACTAGCTTTTGGTTTGTTTTTATTTTTTTAGTTCCTTAAGGTAAGATTATTTATGTGAGCTCTATCTTATTCCTTGACATGAGTCTCTGTTACTGCATAATTTCCTCTTAGTACTGCTTTTGCTGTGTCCCATAAGTTTTGGAAGGTTGTGTCCTCATTGCATTTGTCTTAAGGGATTTTTTAATTTCTTCTTTGACTTCCTCATTAACTCATCAGTCATTCAATAATGTGTTGTTCAGTCTCCATGTATTAGTTTCTTCCTGCTTTCTTTTTGTAGTTGATTTCTAATTTGATACCTTCATGTATGATTTAGCATTTCTATCTTCATTAATTTGTTAATACTTGCCTTGAGACAAATTCATAGTCAATCCTGGAGAATGTCCCATGTGCACTTCAGAAGAATGTGTATTCAGCTCTTTTGGGATACAGTGCCTTGTAAATGTCTATTAAGCCCATGTGTTCCAATTCTTTGTTTAAGGTTATTGTGTCCTTATTTATTTTCTGTCTGGTGAAAGCCTTAGGTTGGATAAAATTGAACAGACTGATAATACTAATTATTGGGGAGATGTTGTAAAAATAGAGTATAAACTGGTAGAAGCACTTTGGAGAATAATTTGATAATACTTAATAGTGCTGAATATATGCAGACCTTAACAAATACTAATCATAACAACATACCTAGGTATGAAATTGAGGAAAGTAGTATCCTCTGGAGAAGGAGGAAAAGCAAAGGTTGGTGATCTTAGCATGAGATATAACTATGTCTTTAAAAAGTGGGTGGAGTGAAGAAGAATGATTAACAAAAAAGGCAAACTATTAACATCTATTAATCCCACTAATGAGTACAAGTGTGTCTTCCATTATCAAATTTAAATTACTAAAGGATTTGAGAGTGAACATTATTTTAGCTTTAGGTATACAACATATTTGGCATTTGTCTACATCTCAAAATGATCATAATAAGTCTACCATATTTTCTCAGCAACTTTCATATTTGCACAATCTTAGTACTAATTATATTGCCCATGCTATGTATTATAAATTCTTGACTTACTTATCTTAAACTGGGAGCCTGAACCTAAAAATATGGAAAGCTTCATGGATCTATCTGCATGCCATCTTTGCACAGAGGTCATGCAACAATTCTCTGTATCGTCTAATTTTAGTATATGTGCTGCCAAAGCAAGCACTCTTCTCTGTATTGTTATCAGACACTTCCGCAAACATCGGAATTATGTAACTATACCTTTCCTACTATTGTAAAACTTTGTAGTGCTATTTTCCTCTATGAAAAAAAGTCTCATGGTACAAAAATAAAATCTAAGAGATCATTATCAGATAATTATTTTATGATTAGTATAGCATTTGCTAGGTATGTCTATTAATTTTTAAGGAATTATGTTGGCTAGTGATAATGACCCATAATTTTTATTTCAACATTATACCTGTTCTAATCAACAGTGCACAAGACTTACATAAGACTGATGTGGCAATGGAAGTGGAATAAAGTGAGAATATTCCTTCAGGAGAAGACTGATTTAACAAGGTATTGCCTTGTGGGAACAAAAGTGAAACAAAGATAACTCTCAGATTTTTGGCTAAATTATTAATAACTTGGTTCCTTTAATGAACTCCTTGAGCCTTTCAAGTCTTATGAAGTTAGACCAAACACTTCTCTAATAAGATTCAGCAAACATTTACAACTTTGAGAAAATTTTCAAATGATATAATTATCTAATTACCAGAAATGTTATATTAATATGATAGTTATATTTATAAAGTATACATATTCATAAAAATAAACATCAATGCTGACGCTTGAAAAGGAGTTCTAAAAATAAAAGATCCTAGCTTGAAGGCGATAGGAACTGGAAATTTCATTGTCTGAATTACCTTCACTTGGAGTAAGAATTATCAACAAATATTTTGCATCTAATATTTAGTTAGATCTTCCCAACAAATGAAGGATTATATTGATATCAACTCAGTTGTGAAGAACCAAGATCACACAGATAAGAGTGAATTTACAGGTGAACGATAGCAAGTTTTAAGTGCTTTTTACTACCTCATATCACTAATATATTACAAATAACAAAAACTGTGACGGTGTACTATGCTAAGGGTAACAGATTTAATATGGATAGATGGCTGGATAAGAAATAATGCAAGAATCTTAGAAATAAAAGTAATACAATTTTTTCTAGTCATCTTCTCTGATTTCTTTCTCATTACTATATTTCTGTTGCTAAGGGAACATGAAACCAGCTGGAACAGTTATATTACATCAGATAAAATACAATTTTAGCCAAAAAAAGATAAGAAGACAAAGATGGGACACTGCAATGATAAAGGGGTCAATACATCAAGAAGGCACGACACTCATTTATGTATGTACCCCACGCAGGAGTAACAGAGTAAAGCAATTATTCACAAACATGAAAGGAGACATAGCACATAGGGCGCATTCTCAAGGATAGATCCTATCTTTGGATATAAAACAAGTCTAAATAAAATTTGTGAAGATTGGAATCATACCACACATCTTTATAATCACAATCAACCAAAAGAAGGAAGATGGAAAAATCACAGCATGTTGAAACTAAACAACGTGCTACTGACAACTAAGGTCAATGAGAAGGTCAAAGTAGAAATCAAAATCTACGCAGAGACAAATGAAAATGAAGACATGAGCTACCAAAATCTGTGGAACGAGGCAAAAACATTACTAACAGCAAAGTTAAAAGCAATACAGATCTACCTCAACAAACAAGAAAAAAATCACAAATAATCTAGCCCTTTACTGAAAGAAACTAGAAAAAGGAGAAAAAACAAAACAGAAAGTTCTATAGAGGGGAATAATAAAAAATCAGAGGGGAATAATAAAAATCAGATTAAAGAAGACAAAAACTGGTTCTTTGAAAAGATAAACAAAATAGACAAGATTAGGTGGGGCCACAAAAACCAAAACCAAAACCAACCCAGCATAAATAAAATCAGAAATGAAAGAGAAGTTATAATAGGTACCACAGAAATATAAAAGACCCTGCGATAACCATGAATATGTATATGCCAGCATACCAGACAATCTAGAAGAAAACAACAAACTCTTAGACACATACAACAGTCCAAGATTGAATTGGGAAGAAATGGAAACAACCAAAATGTTCATTAGTGCATAAATGGATAATTGGATAAGTGGTATAGTATACTGGACAAGAGAATACTACTCAGCTATAAAAAAAGACGAAATCTTGTCATTTGTGACAACACGGATGTACCACGAGGTTATTACACTAAGTGAGATAAGCCAGATGAAGAAGATACTTAAGAAAGATAAATACCATATAATTTCATTCATACAGGGAAGATAAAGAAATAACACAAAACAGGGCCTCCCTGGTGGCGCAGCGGTTGAGTGCTGGGCTGCGAAGCTGCCCGCAGCCTCTGCAGCGCCGGCTCGACCCCCGGCTGCTCCCCGGCCACCGGAGGAGGGTCCCACATGGCGCGCAGACCTCTCTTGCCACCCACTGCTCCCCTCAGCAGTGTATTTCGTCGGTCTGCATCTTCTGCTCCCCGCTCTGGCTCTGGTGAATTCTCTCCCCCTCCCGCACTTCTGACTGTACCCAGTGCTTGTATAAATAAACAAACAAACAAATAAATAAATCTTTAAAAAAAAATAAAAAGAAATAACACAAAACAAAACTGAATTCAGATGATGAAAACAAAAGGAGGGAAGGAGGAAAGAGAGTGGATAATTGGGTAAAAAGGATCAATTGCATGGTGGAGGTTGGAAACTCATCTTTTGGTGGTGATTACATATGTGTAGATGTCAAAGTACAATGCTGTATACATGAAACTTATATAATGATATAAACCAGTATCACTTTGTTTTTTAAAAAGTTGTCAGATTAGACACAAAAGCAAGAACCATAACAGAAAACTTGTAAGTTGGACTTGAATTAAAATTTAAAACTTATGTCCTTCAAAAGAAGCTCTTAAGAAAGTGAAAGATAATGCATGGACTTGAAGAAACTATTTGCAAAATATAAATCTAATAAAAAACTTGAATATAGAAAATTTAAAAATGAATTCTAGTAACTCAGTAAGAATGCACTCTGCCAGGAGAATGGGAAAACTATTTCAGCAGGCACTCGCCGAAGAAGATAAATAGGTGGCAAACAAAAAGCTGTTAAATAATTCTTAGAGAAATAAAAATTAATGCCACAGTAAGATATCACTTCACTCTTACGAGAAGGGTTAAAATTAAAGACTGACTGACAAGGGCTGGTAAGGATGCAGAGCAAATGGCAATTCTGCATACCGCCAGCATAATGCTTTCAAGATTCATCTCCGTTGTACGTACTAGTAGTTCATTCCTTTTCATTGTTAAGGATTCCACTACATGGATGTACCACAACTTGCTTTTCCATTCATGTGGATGGACCTTTGGGTGGTCGTTTCCAGCTTCCAGTATTTGCTGATTACAGATAAAGCTGCTATAACCACCACCAGCAAATTTTAGTAGGGACATAGAATTTTATTTCCCTTGGGTAAATACTAAGAGTGAGATTGATGGGTTCTATGTTTAACTTTGTAAGAAACTATGAATTAGTTTCCAAAGTGGAGACTGATTTGTAGCTTAAATAAGCCCGAGTCAGATTTGATCCCACCACAGCATCCAGTATCTCATTTGACCTAGGCATAAAGAATTAGTTCTAACTTAGCCACTAAATTAGTATTAGCCCAAACAAATCCTTAAAACCTTTGGGTCTCAAATTTCTTCAATCAACAAATGAAGAGACTTAGACTATTTCTAAACTCTCTTTTTACACAAAAATGTTATTTGTCATTTTCCCATCATCTCACTGGGCCAAATGAAACTCCTTGATCTTTTACATAACCTGCGGCCAAGACGTGTCTGTGTGTGCTCCTGTGTTCTACAATTCACTATCATGATGTATAAACTGGAAGGAATTTTAAGACCATCTAGTGCGAACACTACTTTTCAAAATGCGGAACTTAGTGCTTCCAAGGTCTGTGAACTTCTCTTTGCAGCAACGCACCTGAGTGCACAGTCCCTACACTGCAGCTCACAGGGTACTCAAGGCTAGGGTGGTATGGGGGGTGGGGGTGGGGAAGGAGCCCTCCCACTGAGAATCCCTGCCTTACACCCCACCACGTGGAGGGAAACTGGCTTCCTCTGGGCCAAATGCACCTAATTAGTAATGATTTAACTCTGTTAAGAATTCTGGGCCAGGCCCTCCGACACTCACGGCCTTCTTCAAACACATTTCCACTGTATTTGGTGACCTTGCACTCTCTCCCGCTTTGTGTCTTGATTTTACCTTGCAGGAGAGCTGTTGAGTGTGCCAATCACACTCCCTTGTCACACTGACTACACAGCTGGATAAAACAGAGGGCTAATTTTCCACTTGAGCAGAAAATGTGCCACACACACTGAGAACTGAGAAGCTACTTTCTGGTTGGGGGGGCCGGATAGCACGCACAGCTGGTAACTGGCATGCACTGCTCCCCGGCACTTAGCTCCTGTCCTCTGCTTGGCTTTCTATGAGAATGAGTAAAGAAGCAGAGGGAGGTGACAAACAGCAAAGCCCTTGCAACGCAGCTCAGAGAGGGTTGGGATGCCGACAGTAAACAATTCAGGGCGAGGGAACAGGCTGGGGTTGGCTTAGGAACAAACCTTGCTGGTCCTCTGGCACTAGAACTTGAAAAGTAATTATAGCTGATGGGAAGACGTTCACAGAGCTATGGATATGACCTCATTTATATAAATATATATGTAATTAAAAAACAAAGACTGGAAACACACATCCAAACTGGTGGAAGCGGTCACTGGGGGGAGCAGGTGCCGACAGCAGCGAGCCTTCACGAACTCTCCACTCGAGAAACTGCTGTACTCTCGACTTCTTTTTTAAAACATTAACCAGACTTTTAAAAACTTTTTTAATTTTGGAATAAAGTGTAATTACCATAATTACACTCTAGAGGTTTCTATTGCCAACGAAGGTTTGATGGAGACTGAAAGGAAAGAAAATGTGTAGGAAAGCAAATAAGGAACATGGCAGATAGCGGGAGGGAGGAGACAGCTCACTGGAACTAAAATGTGGGAAGCAGCGTAGCCTTTCCCGGAACTATGGACGCACTGATGCTCGGGGCAAAGCTGTGCACC